AAGTAATATTTTAAACCGTTTGATTTTTGTATTAAAGTTTTTTATTTTATTGATGATTGATTCAATCAACTAATTTGTTGATTGTTTGATTGTATTAACTTGATTCTTTAGATATTGAAAATTAAATAAATAACATTATGTTAATTTAAGCGTACAGAAACGTTGCTGTTGTTCCAGCAAAAATCTTATTTTCACTTTACCGAGTGCCTAGTAGGTAATGTGCAGATTACCTAGATACTCTGCACATTACCTAGGTAATTTGAGAAATAGAACAATTTTAGCAACTTTAACGGATCACTCTAGTTAATGTGCAGATTAGCTAGGTAATGTGCACATTAACAGATTTCGAGCTTTAGTGGTAACATATATACTTACTGAAAGCTGTTGCAGATTTCGATAATTTTGTCAGTCTTCATGATTTACATTGTATTTCTGCTTTTAGGTTTAACCACTGTAGTGGTGGTATTTTAATTATTCAGTGTCTATATTTAAAAGTTGTGAAAGTATTTTAGTATTTAGATTTGAGTTTGGTTGTTGAGATTTCAATATTCTCTTTGTGTATTATTCCTAAATACACCAAATTCATCTAATAAACAAATCGATAATTACAAATATGTCACATTAATCTTGTATAGCTTTGCAGTTACTACTTAGAATGTATCACAAACATTTTCAACCCATTTCTAGGGTCTTCCTCTACAAATTTTTCTGGTCCAATTTCGATTTTTAAACACTCGGGTCTCCAATGCTTCTATCTTCGGAATTTATTTTTTAAAATTTCGAACATCGAAAAATAGAAAAGCAATACTACCTTAGCGATATATGCCAACGAAAATGGAATTACACCTAATCTACAACAAGCGACAATGATTCGACAAACCCGACATATAAACCAACTGCAAAATCTAGAAGCGTTAGTAATTTTTAAAGCGGACTGCAAAGGCCTGTTAATCAATTTTAAAGAAGAAAAACAACTATCAAGAGCATGACAGGCTGTTTATGATGCAACGCTACAGCACTCATCTGGCTGCTGCAGGCACACGTCGTTTGGAGATTCAAATTTTGAATTTTAAAAAAATAAATTCCAAAGATAGAAGCATTGGAGACCTGAGCGGTTAATAATAATAATTATTTTTTTAAATTTTAAACGGAACATTTCCTTTGTAAATAAATAAATTAATTAAATTTTTTAGCAGATATACAGTTTGTCAAATGTTTAATGCCGTAATTTTGAATTTATTTTGATGTTTGTTAAAAAATTTACAAAATTATTATAAATTTTTTATAATTGCTATTAAAAATAATGAATACGTAATATATAAATGATTAATTATTTGTTGTACTTACAATTTGAATTGTTTCAGGAACACATACCTAGAGAAGATCTACTTAATGCTTTGTATCTTGAGTTTGTTAATCGTACAAATGAAGTTGGAGTAGACATAAATCAAGCCATTGCTCATCCCCATACTTCACATTTAGTTCAGTTTGTTTGTGGATTGGGTCCAAGAAAAGGCGGTGCATTATTAAAGGTATCTTAAAATTGAGTTTATCTTCTCATTTTTTCTCAAATATTATTTATTTCAAATTAATATAGTGGATTATTAATAATGTTAGGTGAATTGTAATAGAATCTAAATGGAAGATTTAATTTATTATGTTTTTCATTTGGAATATTCTGAATTTTAAAAATTTAGAAAAACAATTTTAAATATTTTATTATTAATTTTGTTAATGTAAAGTTATAGTTAATTTTTTCCATGTCTAGTTTACAGAGTAATTATTGGGATTCAAACATATAAATCATTGTTTAACTCAACATCTTCCTGTACAACTGCTAGTAGTAGTCTACTCCATGCCATCTTTGTTGCAGCAATGTGTAGGGGATAATAGTGATTTTTAAGTATAATTAGCTAGCCAAACTCAAAATAACTATATATATAAAATTACTTGTTCTGACTGACTGACTGAGTCACTGATTCATCATCGCCCAGAGCAAACCACTGAACCTCAACAGGTGAAATTTGGTACACAGTTAGGGTACTTCATGGAAATGCACACTAAGAAGGGATTTTCCGAAATTCCCCATCGGGGGAGAAGGAGAGCATTAAGGCTAAACCGGAAAAACGGTTTCTACTGTAATATTTTAGATGCAATTTTTTGTTTTTAACTGCGTTTTAGTAGGGTATGCCATGTGAATGCACACTAAGAAGGGATTTGTTGAAATTCCCCAGTGGGGGGAGGGAGAGGGAGAGCATTAAGGCTTAACCGAAAGAACAGCTTCTGTAATATTTTAGATGTGATGTTTTGTTTTTAACTGCGCTTTAGTAGAGTATGACATGGGAATGCACATTAAGAAGAGATTTTTCGAAATTCCCCTGCAGGGGGGAAGAGAGAGCATTTCATTTCAGACACTGTTATAAATATTTTTATATATTTCAATTTTTTAACCAAATGTTTGAACCGTTTTAAATTCGAATTTCTTTCTGCTTATTGGTTCGATTATAGAATGATTGTACATGTTTCAGAAAATTTATCAAATTGAAAACAGTTTGTTTGATTCTCGGCAATTCTCATCATTCTCAGTGGTAGGTGTTATATAACAATTACTATGGTTGTTGAAATACTGAATATAAACAGGGTTTGCTTACAAAACCTCCGCAGGCGAAGTCGCGGGTAACAGCTAGTAATTATATGTTTAAGATAAAAAACAGTTATTACACATTATGCTACTTATTGTAAAATATTTTTAATGAACTACATTGTGGTGCATTACCAAATTATTTATTTCAGAAGGATTTTCTTTCCAATTGAGAACCAAGAATAATATGGGCCTCTACCATTTTTAATTGAATTAATTTTAATGAAGAGAAATTATCCTTGTAATCAACAATTAAAAGCAATCCTTGTAACCCCTCGATGTGGGTTCTTGTTTGTGGTGAGGGGACCTCCCAGAGATGGTTTAGTAACTTATCTTTACCATCCCTGGGATCTGAATGCCCACCACGTGTTTGCCGTGCGTGGAATCCCGTATGCCGGAAAGGGGGATCCTGGTAGTTGAGGGGCAACATAACGTCTCCAACACACTGCTTTGGCCCCTGCTTCGGATAAATGGGAGGCTCAAATCATGCTCCATTTCAGTCAATCGGCTGGTCGTTGAGTCATTCTTGACCTCGGCCTGGTTAATTTGTGATGTTTCGTTTATGTGTATATATGTTCCCCTATTTATTTTCTACCCTCATTGTACCATGTGTCGTGGCGCAATATAGCCTGCATGGCTTTTGTGCCAAAAAAAAAATTAACCAACTAACCAATCCTTGTAAATTAAAATTATTTTCTATCCTTGAATTTATCATGATAACCACTATTATCTTAAATTTCAAATGCTTTTCTGTAGTAAATAGACCATTTTTTTTATTTTATACTTATTAAAATTATAGTTTCCTTAAGCTTACAATTTTAAATTAAGAATTAACTTTATTTTAGTTTTTCTTTCTCTGAAATATCAGATTCCAGATGATACTTATGTCTTTCTTCTTTTCATAATTACATAATTTTTATCAATTATTTTTTTGCCTTTTTAAATATTTTGTGTTCTTCCAAAATGAATGCTACATTTTTAAATTACTGTAATTACGTTGATTATTACCTGAGAAGTTCAACTTATGCCAATAGATAGAATAGCTATTCAAGTCCTCTCCCATCTTTATTCAAACATATTGTCATTTACTACCTCTAAGAAATGCCATAAACAAAAACAACAACTGTAACAGAGAAAGGCATTTTGTGTTCTGCAGTTTGCAAAGTTGTAATCGCTCATTATTGTGCAATACAAGTAATCTGCAGGAGTTGAATTATGGCTGCTGTGGAAGGAATTATAATTATGATGGAAATGCTGTAGTGAGCATAGGAAGAATTTGAGTATCGGTCAGATGTGGATGTGAGGTGCATACATTGGGAAACTGTAATGGGCAAATGTAAAACTCGGGCAGTTTTCAATGTTTTAATGTACAGATAATAATTAACATAATCATAACAGTTAATTTTAAATGTTAAGTTAAAATATAAATATATTTTTTGTAGTAATTAATAATGTAATTATAATTTGATAGGGTTATAAAAATTCTAGTTTCTTATATTTAAACTATATGCTGCTTTATAAAGCATAAATTTCTCAATATGTGATAATTGTACATCTCTCTAAATTTTTGATTTATCTAGATTTATGAACATTTTTTGTAATGAAGATTCCAAATTTTAAGAATTATATTCATTTTGTTGCAACATTTTAAATTAAAAAGTAATTTATGATAGTTACACAGAATTGTTTTTTGCTATTTTAGAATTTAAAACAGACACATCAAAGATTAGAGAGCAGAACGCAACTTGTAACCGTTTGTCGAATGGGTCCCAAAGTGTTTATCAATTGTGCTGGTTTTATTAAAATAGATACCAGCTCTCTTGGCGATAGGTAAATATAATAGTTTTTTAAGCATTAAAATTTTGAGTTTACTAAATGATGTGTTTGAAATTATGATTAATTTCTTTTTAGTACTGAAACATACGTTGAAGTGTTAGATGGGTCTCGGGTTCATCCGGAAGCATACGAATGGGCACGCAAAATGGCAGTTGATGCTTTAGAATATGATGATACTTCAGAGGATGTTAATCCTGCTGGAGCACTAGAAGAAATTTTAGAAAATCCAGAGAAACTAAAGGTTTGTTAAATTTTATATGTTAATTTCAAGTTTAGAAAATATAAAGTCATTTTGAATGAAAAAATGTGTGTGTTGTTTATTTTTCTATCTCAGTTAATAAAGTAATAAGTTAAACTTAAACATTTAGCTAAATGATTAAAAGTTGATTATAACTATGACATTTATTATTTTATCTGTTATAATGTAAAATACAGTAGAGCCTCGATTATCCGACCCAATTGGGAACTGGGGTTGGTCGGATAATTGAAAAGTCGGATAACCGAAAAGTGTGAAAAAATCCATTATTAGTGTAGTATATTATTATATCCCATGTAATCAGTATATTANTTTTAGAATCTCTATTTTCCAGTTCTACATGAATTCTTTGTTCTGCCAGTTCCTGAAGGTCATTGTTGGTAAGGCTCTCACCAGAAACCTGCTGTAACTCCTCAATATCCTGCTCGTCTACATCTCCTAGTCCTGCTGTATCGATTAGGTTGAGTTTGATCAATCTAACAATACAGCAATAGGTTCTTCTCATTGAGAATTCTTGGTAGTTTCAGCCGTAACTTCTTCCACACTTTGTTCATGCATTTATCAGTTAATTCTTGCCAAGCAAAGTCAATATTGCCTATGGCATCCATGATGTTATATTTTTTCCAAAATTGCACAAAACAAACATAGATTTAAGGGAAGTACAGTGCTACGACGAATTGCCACTTTTTGCTGATTGGTTCATGTTTGGGAATAATTGTATTATATACGAATCAATGAAATGCCGTGTAAATTTTGAGCGTTTTTAGGCTTCAAGCAGACTGTGCTATATTGAATCAGCATTAATTGAGGCAGCGTTAAGCAGGGTCTTACTATACTGTAGTATACAGAAGCCATAGTAAGGGTCTAGATGAGCCATAATTTGGCCACTGTGTTAATATAATAATCTGTTTTGAATTAAGGGAGTTCATTACCTACTCTTTGAACATAAATGTATCAAACTATCGGATTGAACAGAAAATTCTCGCACTTTTGGATGCATTTTATGTTACCAAGAAAATTTTATGTACGGAATTGACTTCAGTCATCAGTGTAATTACCGTTGTTGTTGATCACTTCCTGCCAATGCTTATGCAAGGGACAAGTGCCATCTTGATAAAACTCTGGTGGCTGTGACTCGAAGAAGTTGGTCAGGCTGGCCTCTAAGTCGGCTTCATTGTTGAACTCCTTGCCAGCCAGGTGACGGTCAAGCATGGCAAACAGGTGGTAATCCGAAGGTGCAATGTCGGGGCTATATGGCAGGTGGTGCGAGACCTCCAATTCAGGTCCAGTAGCTTTTGGCAGGTCTGCCTAACCATATGTGGCCGTGCATTGTCATGCAGCAGTATGATATTCTGGTGTTCCAGGTGGGTCTCCATCAGTTTCTGCTGCAGACGTCGAGTTGTTTGCAGTAGAAAGTTGCATTGATGGTTATATTTTGTGGCAGCAATTCATACATGATGATTCCTTTTTTTTTGGAACAATAGTCATAAATGAGGAGCAGGCAAACTTGATCTTTGGTTAGCAGATGTTGGTTGGTCATGGTAAAGTAGAGTGAGAGGACTGGATTTGGTATTTTCTTATAGCATGTACCCCGACCTGTTTATATACTACCACGGAACATTCTAGAATGTTCCAAAAAGTGCGAGAACTTCTGTTCAATCAGATATAAAATGGCTAAAAAGTTTATTTATAATGTAATTTATGTTTTGGATAATGATTAAAAAAAATATTTTTAAAGAATATAATTGTACCATACTTGTGAAAAGGGAAATACTTAAAAACCATTTTGCATTTTTTTTTATGAAACAACAAAGATTGATTGAAATATTTAAAAAAACATATATACAAATTTATACTATTATTTTTGGAAATGTACACTTGAAGATAGTAATTCAATTTTCAATTTATTGATATACTAGCAGGTGACATATTGTTTACGTATTAAAAAAACGTTGTTTAATTCTTAATCAATTGTCTAAAAATTAATGTCTGTTAGTCATCTTTTTATATTTGTAGGCCTACCTACTTTACCATGTGCTTCACAACTCTGCCTTGATGGAAAATAATAAACCATGTGCAGTCATATGCTATGAGATTTTCCTTCTGGTTTCAGATTTGTGAGAAATTTTGACATTCAGATTTAAATAATAAAAACTAATGATGATATCATAGTTTAACAATACAGTATATTTCATTATTATAATATAAATCAGTGATAGACTGCACTATATTCTATAAACTGTCTGTGTGGTTTAGGAATGTTGGGTTTATTGTTCTTGGCTCTAATGACTTTATATAGTAAAGTGTTTGATTTTTGAGATATTGGAATTTTTCTTGAAACTTTTGTCTAAAAGCTACCATATGGATAATTTCAAATGTATAGGATGCTTCAAAATGGAAGCAACTTTGGATATTACAAACTTTGAATTATATATACAGTATATATATATATCATATTTATCTACTCAATGCATAGTATAAATTTGTACTTAATAAGTTATTTATTATAAAGTTTGTTTAATAAATAGTATTAACCTTTAATAGTATAATACTGTATAATTTAATTTATTTAATTTATATGTTATATCTTATGGAAAATTTCTTGCAGCTTTCAGTTTTTTATAAAATGGTCATTTTCTTAAAAATAAGTTCATGTTTATCCCATCTCTAATTAGCTATTCATATGTTTTATATATGTTACCGCTAAAGCTCGAAATCTGTTAATGTGCACATTACCTAGCTAATCTGCACATTAACTAGAGTGATCCGTTAAAGTTGCTAAAATTGTTCTATTTCTCAAATTACCTAGGTAATGTGCAGAGTATCTAGGTAATCTGCACATTACCTACTAGGCACTCGGTAAAGTGAAAATAAGATTTTTGCTGGAACAACAGCAACGTTTCTGTACGTTTAAATTAACATAATGTTATTTATTTAATTTTCAATATCTAAAGAATCAAGTTAATACAATCAAACAATCAACAAATTAGTTGATTGAATCAATCATCAATAAATTAAAAAACTTTAATACAAAAATCAAACGGTTTAAAATATTATTACTATTAGGGAAATGAATTTGCAAAACATATGATAAAATTGTACTTACTTATTAGTGCAATCTAAAGATTGGTGACACTTTGAATTACGTAGCAATTGGTTTTTGCGACAAGCACGCCTATTTGTGGTACATTTAGATTTGCAGTCACATTTTCTGAAACCCTGCCCAGTACCAAGGGATTGTTTTATTGCTGTTTGACGTAAAGATATTTCTACAGCAGGGACATCCATCTTCTTTCGTTAAAAATCTCTCTTTGCAAACACTGAATTCAGATTTTGCATACAATTGTTTTAAAATACCTGTTTTAGTATCAAGTTTATAAAAGCCATCCTCTGTCTTAATAAGAACCACAGCTAAAATTGAATGTGCATCAGTTTTTGCATCAATTTTCTAATTTTTCAAGGTCTTCTTCAGTTTTTATCAAATGTAATACACTTTGTGGTATAATAGAAGAAGACTGGAAGAGTGGAAAAATTAGAAGATTCACAAGAGACTGTGATTATGAGATCACAGTCAAATCTTACTCAAGAAGACATTCTGTTATCCCCCGCTTCTGCAGAATCATTTATAGAAATACAAGAATTTATCAATAATAATTTTAAACTGCCTTCTATACCATTGATTGATGATACAGTCACGAAGAATATTCAGTTACCCTGCACCTCCAAGGAATCACCTCTTCAAGTTGAAGAAGTCATCACTCAGTTACTCTCAACTTCAGCAGAATTGCCATCACAGTTTCGTACAGAGCCTGTAAAGAGCACTCACTATACAAGACATAGTCTGTATTGTTTGCTCAAAAGCAGCATCAAGTGCTCACATGTGTAAATCGTGTGATATGTTTGTTTACGTAGTTTGTGGTGAAGTAGATCCTAAAGAGAAAGGGTATGGTAAGAATTTATTGTGCATCATCTGTAAAAAGAATATGAATCAGAAAATACAGCTTGATGAAGCCAAGAAATGTTTAGAAAAGCAAGCAAAGAAAATGTTAGCAGTTTCTAATGCAAAGCACCCAAACGTCGATGAANTTAGATACATAAAAAAATAAGGAAAGAATTTATATAAAGAATGTAATTTATTAGTTAAAACTTTGGTGTATTATATTTAATTTATATAATTAACTTATTTGTAAGATAGTATAATACAATTTGTAAAGTTTTATATGTGTATGCAGATTTTTAAGTTTTGAATTTTTTATATTAATATTTTAAAAAATAGGACTTAGATTTAGATGCATTTGCTGAGGAATTAGAAAGACAAGGATTCGGTAACAAGAGCATCACTCTTTATGACATACGTGCAGAACTGAATTATCGTTACAAAGATCTTCGGACGCCTTATCGACCATCGTCGGCCGAAGAAACTTTTAACATGCTCACAAAAGAAACTCCACACACATTTTACATTGGTTTGTATTTATTTATAAGTTTTGAAATTAGATAAATTATTTATATAATTATTTTTAAAAAGAAATAGTAATCTATCTCATTACAGTAGATTGTTAATCTTTTAGACAAATTATTGAGTAAGAAATCATTAATTTGGCAAAATAAGCAATCAAAAATTTCAGTCTCTTACTGTTCTTTTGCCATTTTGTTTCATATCTTTAATATGTAAAATGAATTTTGATATGTAACCCAATTGAATACAGGTATACCTCGACTTACGTCGTTTCGAGTTACGTCGTTCCCGATTATACGTCGTTTGTCAAAAATGTATACGGAAAAATAAAAATCAAGTTTAAGTCATTTTATTCGACTTTACGTTTGTCCGCCACAAATATTAAAGTCGTAATATCACTAGAAAAGCGTTTAAAGCACATAAATCACATTAAAATATGTACATTTACAAGTATGTACTGTATTTACAGTACAGTACATGCATTCGTAAATTTAGATTACTTTTTTCTGTACTCTATTAAAAACTAAAATTTATTTGTTTGTAAGCTTAAAATAGATTCTTATTAACCATATATTATTAAAAATGCATTAATAAATAAAATGCAGAACTGGGAATAGTAATTTATGGTTTTTCCTAGTGACAAGTAGATTCTTGTCACTAGGAACAAGTAAATTCGACTTACGTCGTTTTTCGACTTAAGTCGTTTTCCTGGAACCAATTACTGACGTAAGGCGAGGTATACCTGTACTAGACTCGCCTCCACTAATTGTAGGGGCTAGTCCAATATTCAACAGGAAACAGTTGTGTGCATGGAATCTCTGTCTTATTGAAAAATATATTTTTTTAGGATCTAGCAGTAGAGTTCTTTGTTTATGATCCCATTGATAAATTCAAGATTTTTTGACCTCAAGAACAGATTTTCTGTGGCCATCCAGAGTTTGGTAAATTTGTCACAGTTCCATAGATTTGAACTTTTTCACACTACTTCTAATAGTGTTTACATAAACACTAGTTAAAGTGGTGTATGTTTTAATAATCTAAACCACTTTTGTTAAGTCAAATAATTTTTTTCTCTTGTTGCTTATGATAGTCTCCTTCTATCCACCCGCATAAAGTTATTTTTGGTTGATTCAAAATGTTAAAGTCTGTATTACATTCTACTTCAACTTACCTTAATATGATTATATAAGATATTAGTAAATTTTTTCTTAAGCAGTATTTATAGTTTTTTATAAGGTTGATTCTTTTTTGACATAGAAATCTACACTTGCAAATTAAAAAATTTATCTTTTGTAAATTTATGGGGGTTAGAAAAGTTCATTTTAATCTAGTTTTTTGTTTTTATTATATAAGTTAGTTTTCATTATATAAGTTGATTTGTATAAAAGTTATTTGGGAGTTTTCACTCAGCATTGCAAGGGTGGGAAATGTTTTTTGACATACTGTAACAAAATCTTTGAGACCAACTTTCCTAAATGATGGATCTGTACCGTTATTAGGAAATTGTGTAAAATCAATTTAACTAGAATAAACTTCATTGATTTAACATATTAGAGTTTTCTATTATGTGAATTGTAGGCATGTAATTTGTGTTTATGACTTGAAGATATTAGGTGACCCAGTTCTATAGGCCCAAAACAAGTAGGATTTTACATTGGTTTGCTGTAATAAAGTAGTATTTAATGTTTTGAAAAGGATAGTTATTTAATAATACAAAAATATGATTTTTTTTTTTAAAGATACACATTATTAATTTATACTGCTTTCATATTTTTTTTACAATTGTAATATGGTAACATAGCTAATTAACAAGGATTAAATGTTTTTGATATTGAAAGAATTTATGAGAAATTGCTTCATTAATTTCATAATTTTGAAGAAATCCTAATTTCTGGAAAATAAATAATTTTGTAATTAAATTGATTTTTATTTGGATTCATAATAATCTAGCAATTAGTTTATACTGTATAAAAGTGAGGCTTTTGAAGTGTGTTTTTGCCATCTTTGAGTGTTTTAGTTCATCATTTCACTAAGTAAATAAATTCATAGATTCAGGATAAATACAGTAGATCCCCCTATAAGACGGTAGATACGTTCCGTTCTTTATGAATCAATTTTGTAGGAATCATAGTTTACGGACTACGGCTGTTTGAAAGGTTTTCTTTCATAAAATTAATCGATTCTAGACTAATTCGACTCAACATTTCCAAAATACGTATATTTTTTTTAAAATAATCCGTATAAACTACGTTATAAACAAAAAATTGTAGGATTACTTACCGAGTGTGTACCCTTTGACTACGCTCGTTGCTAAAGCTTGGTTTCGTCGCGGAACAGCGCATCAAATTGCGGCCGCGATTTCTGATATTATTTTTCTGCGAAAACTTCGTTGACCTTTGGAGACATCATTAATATAAATAATTTTTATGGCCGTTAAATAAGAAATGTTTCTTTCACAAGAAATGTATAAAATTACAGTACTAAACAGACGATAGGTCGCCTAACTCGCCGTAGCGTGACGCTAGACGGCGAAAAATATATATTTAATTATAATAAAGTTACAATAAATTAAGTTAATATATAATTATATATACAGTACCTAATTTATATATAATTAATATATAATTATATGTACAGTACCTAATTTATATATAATTTATATAATACTGTCCAGACGATAGAAATCTCTCCGTAGCGTGGCGCTACGGACGGCGGGTAAGTAGTTCGGCTGCCCGATGACGTTTTACGTATTATAGGAGTTATTTTTACCGTTGTTTACGGATAATGCCACAATTTTTATAGGAATCATAACTATAGGAAATGGTTTTATAGGGGGATCTACTGTAGTGTAGAAAATTTTGTGTTATATAATTGAAAGAATCTGCTTATTGTAGAGGTAATTACAGTATCATCCATGTAATGCTATCAAAATTAGCTTGTCCTAAAACATAGAGGTTAAAATATGTTTATAATTTTTTTGTTTATAATAATCAGAGTTTTGTTTACAGCTGTCATCCGGTTGGTTTCAGATAAAGAGGCATGTTTAAGTTGTTTTTTTTTTATGCTGTTAGTTTAACTAGTATTTTAAACAGTGATTAAGAAGACATTGTTTTAAGTGTTATTTGTTCACAGAATGGTAATTTAAAGAGCTGGCTTTGGCTTTTCTTACTTCATTTACAAGCTGAATAAATTACTATTATTATTTATTAAATTTTCAAGTTATATATTTTTTTAACTATTTTAACAAATCTTTTTAATGTCAGAGTTTAACAGGAAACCAGAATTTCTAGTAGTTGTAGTTTTGATTACTTACCTTGTTTAGATGTTATCATCATCGGTATAGATGTGTTCCAAATTGATTATAATAAGATTCTACTTCACTTATTCTTTTGGAAAGATTTGTTCTTATTCATTGATGACTGATATATATTGATGTAGAGATTATTTAAATATAAACAAAGAATTGATAAAACATTTGGTTATATTGATTTTAATGTCATAATTTGACTGAATTTAGTGTATCGTTTTGTATATTTTGCAGAATAACAATCAACTGTGCTATTAAATAGATAATTTGAAAAAAATAATCTATTTATTGCATCATAAATAAGTAAAAAATTTTTAAATTAACAGGAAAATTAGTATTAGTACAAGTTGTTGGAATTGCACGAAAGAAACCTCAAGGAGAACAATTAGATCAAGCTAATCCTATTAGAAATGATGAAACTGGTCTTTGGCAATGCCCATTCTGTCTGAAAAATGATTTTCCTGAATTGAGCGAGGTTTGTGTTTCTTTGTTTTTTGCATTGAATTGTGTATAAATATTTCAATACAGTAAAACTCCAATTATCTGGGTGCTGATTATGCAGATTGCCCTTCGACTTTGTTAAAAGTAAATAGGTATGTAGTATAATTATGTACATAAGTATAACAAAAAAATAACTATCCTAAGAAGAAATTCAACTATCTGGACAAACCCAAGATCCAAATTAATTCAGATAATTGGAATTTTACTGCATATGAATAATTAAAATCTATCATTTGTAGACAAAACATCACTTGTACTTTATTTTGCCATAATTAATAAATCAATATATTATTAAATATGATAAAATGCAAATATGTAATAAAAATGACTTAATTAACAAAATCAAAATGAAGTCAGTAAAGTAAAGTTGTAAGTTCTTTATTGCTGGTTTCAGTGAATCTTCTGGCCTTGTCAGCTTACAGTAGACTTGCTTTATAAGCAGCTTACGTATAAAAACCGGTATAGAAGGTTTTGGACCATCTCCTATAAGCATAATGCTAATAAGTTCTAAATAACTATATGTAACATAAAGTAAAAACAAAAATTTCTGTCTTCACAAGGCAAATAGAATCTTCAGAATTAATTTTAATAGGAATTATTAAGGAAGAAGTCTTGTAATTGTTTGTTGCAACACTTTGAAATAATACATTAGTCAAAGCAGTATAAAAATAAATTTTTATTTAGTATTCCAGATGATGATAGTTATATACTATAAAAGTAAAAAGTAATTTAATAAAATTTAGTAAATTGACTTTATATTGTTTATGAAACTGAGAAAACTTTGTTATTTATTTCATTTTTGTGTAGAGGAAATCGATAGTTTAATTGCTTTTATTTTGCAACCGACTTTTGGGTTTTGACATTTATTTAATTAGTTTAATTAACACTTCATATTAATCATAGTTTAATAAATTTTCAGGTGTGGAATCATTTTGATGCTGGAAGTTGTCCTGGACAAGCTATGGGAGTAAGAGTGAGATTAGACAATGGTATTTCAGGTTTCATACCTACAAAAATGATAAGTGATAAGCGAGTTACAGATCCAGAAGAACGAGTTAAGGTATGTTGTAAATTACCAATTTTTGTAATTAATTTTTATTTATAATTTTACATTTAAAATTTATTCTATCCCTTATTGTTTAGATCGGAATGACATTACATTGTAGAATTACAAAAATTGACATTGAACGATTTGCAGTAGACGTAACTTGTCGCTCTTCGGATTTAGCCGATAAAAATAACGAATGGAGGTTTGTAAAAATAAATAGCATCTTAAAAATATAGTAATTAGTTCTTATATTGTACCTTTATCAATAACTCTATACCTATATAATAATTTTTTTCCTCTTTAAATCATTTTATTTAAAACTAGCTTACCTGTCGCGCATTGCTGCGATCTCAGAAGAAACGAAATTCAAGCAAACTCGTTATGATAAAATTAAATTTACATTTTATCATTTTTATTGAAACTTATTATTAATTTTCATTGGGAAAACATTTCAAAATGTCGTTTCAGTTCTATTTATTTATTGAAGTGCTTGTGGATACACGATATTTTTTGTTTTTCCATCTGGTGCATACACGAATAAACCAGAAGGTTTTCCGACGTGTGAGCCGGCCACATACAGTTGTACATGTGAGAAGCACAGATTCTTTAAATTTAGCCCACATATTCGCAGAGATTGTTAAAAATGCGATATTTCCCATTTTTATATATATATTTTTAATCCTTTATAATTTTGATTATTTAATTGCTCCTTCTTCTCTTCCTTGGCATGTTGTGAAATTTCTGATAGTTAGATAATAAACCGTTTTATTGTAATTTGTCTTTTTAAATTAATTTGAGTCGATATTAAATTTTGGAAAAGGGGATCCCTAGATCGGTAAAATAGGCAAATTTCCTCCTACGACTTTGGTTGTTGTTTGAGATACAGTTAAGGTTTTAACAAAGTTTGAGCGAATACCTAATTAACAAAAAAAAGTTGAAATAAAGTGATTAATTAAACAAAAATTATTACAAATATCGTAAATAACAGTTCACAAATGCATATACAGTAGAGCCTCAATTATCCGACTCAATTGGGGACTGGGGTTGGTCAGATAATTGAAAAGTCGGATAACTGAAAAGTATGAAAAAATCCATTATTAGTATAGTATATTATTATAATCCATGTAATTAGTATATCAGTATATTAGTATATCGCTATTAACCTACTTTGCGTTGAATTTTCTTCGATGTTAAGCCTAACAAAAATTTTCTAAAATAATAATCGTTGCTATTGTATCATTAAAAATTAGAAAATTAAGCCTCGTTTAAATACTGGCTCCCTTTCATGGTCGATCCAGTGTTGCCAGCTAAAACATGTAAAAACAATATTAAAGTAGCCAAGACATAGCCAAATATTGTAGCGCCACATCACTAACGGACATTTGAAATTTGCCGACTAGGACGGTCGGTTAACCGAGGTGTCGGTTAATCGGGGGTCAGATAATCGAGGTTCTACTGTATAGAGATATTTTTTGGAGGGGAGGAAATGGTCTTCACAATTTGAAATCGATCGAACACACAGAACACACAGTGCTTGTATACACGTGTGCCATCTATCGTAAGATAAATGTACTATGCCAGAAATCTTTGCGGGAGTGTATTAAACAACTTGCTAATGCAATCAGATAAACGGTGTGGCAATGCATGAAGCACAGACACACACACATACATTCATTTTTATATATATAGATAATTTGAATAAATAGTAATTGTGATAGTTTTAGAGGCAATATTAAATATCATATGATAAAAAATATTTCATACAAATATACAGTAGTTATAAATGGAGTTATTAATATTTATTATATCCATAAAATATGTTACTTTATTGATCTATACATATACATACAAAACATACGTACATACATACATACATACAAAAAATACTTTACAATGCTTGTTCTTTATGTGTATGTATAAGGAATAAGCATAAAAAATTTTTATTTTTCTCTTGCTTCAAACATTTAATTGAAGTATTTACATACATGATTAAACATTTGTTGTAATCTGCATCATATGTTTTGATAGTAGTAGTATTTAAATACTTTTCTAATAACTTTTCTGTTTATAGAGATGAAAATTATTATTCTGGAAAAGTATAACAACAGTGTATTTTGTGTTTTTACCTTTTGAAACTGACCTTAATTTTTTAAAGTAATTTTTTAATTACAATTTTTACATTCTCTAAATTTTTTATCCTATATATTTGTCTCATTCATAGCCAATCAACATGATTAATTTAAAGAATGATCTATTTTATAACATATACTGATTTCTAAATGTTCTTATAAATATTTAACCATAATGAAAAGAAATACAATCTATATTGCAATATAAATGGAATTTTATACAGGTTGTATTATGTTTATATTAGTGGTGTGATGCACTGCATTCCTTCTAGCCTTAATATATTTTCTTGAATGAATTTAAACAGAAATTCTAGAAAACTTTCAGTTTGAACAATAATTTTTCAGAAAACGTGTTTTAAAATATTCTTGTCACTTAAGTTTATTTGCTAATGTTTTGTGAAGATAAAATATTCAATCATTACTATTTATACTATACTAAGACACACACCTGATTTCTATTTGTCAAGTTTTTTCTTTATTCCAAACGTTTTCAGCCTATTTAATATTGCTGAGAGAGAGACAGATAATAATACATTACTATTTAGTTAAAGTATAAATGTCAGAATTATTTCAATACAATCTTATTTTCAAAATATTTATTTTTATATATTTAGTCTCTTTATTTCTTTGATTTTAGCTATTAAAAAACTGTAAGCAGTAAGGATACAAACTTTATCAGATTAATTAAATTATTAAGAATCAGTTAACTATATGTTTATGATTATTATAAATACTGTATAAAGCAGTTCAAGATATTTATGAAAATTTAATTTCTATAAATAGGCCTACAAAAGATTTATATTATGACTATGATTCTGAAGATAAAGATAGAAGACAAGAAGAGGAGTTGCAAAAGAGACAAAACAGACAAAGTAAGTAATCAATCATTTTTAAATAAATAGACAATAAAGAGTAGTTTTTAAACAGTTGTTAAGTGTAATTGAATATAATTTTTTGAAATTGATTATTAAGAATATAAGGAATTACTGAGTTACAGTTTGTTGTTACACTTGAGAGAGACAAAACAATATTTTTTTATTTCTGTTTGTTCTTATAACAGATTTAAAAATGAGAAAAATGGTTAATTGTTTATGATAACTGATAATTGGTTTGTAGCAACACTAATAATAATAAAGATGCATTAAAAAATATTATATAAAACCACAATGTAATAGTGAAATGAAAGTGAATAACAAAAAACGTTGTTTGTGGACTATGTATAGTAAAATCAGTTCACAATATATTTATAAGAAATAGTAAAATTGGTCAAGTATCTCATTATAAGTTTTTGTAACTACTTTTACAGTAAGTATTGGATTATTTAATGAAAGTGATGAATAAATTATCAAAATGTTCAGAAGTCAATTAATATTTTTAATATCAAAAGAAAAAAACAGAAAATTTTATATAAATTATCATCCTGTATTCATGTTATATGTTTTATCCAAAATAATTGATTAATGAATGCAGCAGTTGTCTAATTCATAGGAGTTTGCTGAGGTATCAGATGAAAGGGTGTATTTGGAAACTAGTTTTATCCAAAACTGAGCATATATTTTCTGAACAGATTAGTTGGCTCAAAGTTCAATGCTTAGCAAGCTCTTGTGAAAGCCATTAAAAAGTAGCACTTATGTACTGGGATTACCTATATGTATTTTTTACAACGTGCACTTGGACAGAAGCAAAAGCTACATGACTGTCTCCTTGGTCAGGGCAAGGGTTTCCTATTTCCTTACTTTTTTTTTTCCAAGTGTCTCACTATTGACACTTGCATTAATTAATTAAGTCTTGTCATCTTCACATTATAATTTGTCAGAAACCACTGCTGCTCTCTTTAGAAGCAATTGCAGATCCAGGGTGTCCAATGGATCTGGAAACTTGGAAATGTCAAGGAAGTTATCAGATAAGGGAAAAGTCATGGAAATCTCAGGGAATTTGGTATTAAACCTGGAAAAGGAAAAAAATGTTATTATTGCAGTGTGAATAAAGCATTATGTAATGGAAAGGGAGCAACAGAAACAATTTGAATGTGCATATTGTTTTGTTACATGATGTGAATGACGATCTAAGATTACATTATGCATTCTAATTAAATTTAAGTATAATAATTACAAATATTTACTCCAATGTTTTAATAAAATACAAAATTTGAATTATGTGGCTTTAAATTGTTATATGAAAAAAATGTAGCTTTTTTTAATTGTAAATAGCTTATTATTAAATGTTGTCTCATGGGATTCACTGAAAAGCAGTTGGCAATTCTAGCTAGCAGTTGGTTTACTTTGGAAATGAGGTTGTAGAGGTGGTCCAATCACAACAATTTCAAAGCTCTTATCGAATAAATGCTATGTTGAATCCATCTATATTTCAGCAAAGCTTGCAATTTATGATTGCAGTGTTTGGAACTGGTCACTATATTAATTAAAAGTCAATTTTTTTATTTGTCTCTTTTGGAAAGATGTTACTGTACAGTATTAATTCTATTTTAATGTGCACCTTTTTCAACTTTTTGAGAAGCTGAGAAATGATGTGCATATTAGATTTAAAGTATAAGTAAAGAACTTGGAAGTAAAACATGTTAAGTGACAGTATTATTTCCAGTATTATAGCTTGTTAAACCTATTAACTGTAATCTGAACAGATTTTACCATGGTTAATTGATTTTACTTCATTTGAGTGTCACCCATCTATTGAGATTTTGCTGATTTTAATAGTGAAATCTATTTAAATTAACAAGCTTTACACACTATAAATTTTTAATTTACAGATACAAGACAATAAACATAGATTTTAATTTTTATTAATTAATAGGTTTCATTATAACAAATAATACTTTTTTTTTAATGAAAACAGTAGTTTGATTAGTAATATGTTAATATAAATTATATGTAATATCTGGCTAAATAAACTTTATTTAATGCAGAGATGTGAGATGTTTTTTGGTGAATGATTCCTATGCTTCCATTTCTTTTAATAGACATGAAATTAATGGTCACTTCTTAGTCAGTAATTTCTTGATACCTGCCACCTTTTTAACTATTTTCTTAATAAGTCTATTCCAACCTTGTGATCGTAAATTTCAGATAGTAAATTAAAACATTCTGTGAGTTCCATTACTGATATACATTTCTGTACAGTATGTACAGTAGACCAGTAGACCTTTTGATATGCCACTTAAGATTGGAAAATTAGAAAAGTTAGAATGAAGGGAGTAACTGATAGAATGATATTAGAAATTTGAAAAGGCTGTGTAAACTCCTTATGAGCAGTAACCACTAAATAGTTGGAAAGTTGCCACTGAAATGCAAATTGACCAAGATATGGTCATGCGTAAATTCAGCTTATGCCAGGAATAGAAAGCACAAAACTGCTAGATATTACATTAGAAACTCTTCTGGCTGATAACTTGGTAAATGATTCTAAAGCTGATTAAAATTGCTAAGCAATAAAAAGATATTTTATCATCTCCAGGAAATCGTGATTATGGTTATACACTATTTCAGACAGCATGACAAGTTTGATTCTTTCTGGCTTAGTCTGTTACATCAATATGGTGAAGTAAAAGAATTTGGATCATTTGTGAAAATGATTTTAATAATGTCCCATGGTAATGTTCATATGGAATGTGGATTTTTTACCAACAAAGTATGCTTAATGGAAACCAAAAAGAAGAGACATTTGTAACTTACAGGAAATTACATGATGTAGTCATGTCAGCAAGTGGATTGGGAAAATTGAATACAGTGGGTGATCGGTTAACGAACAAATTGGATAACGAACACTTTAGCGAAAGATTTTTATGATCAGACAACAAACACTTCACTGAACCAACACAAGAAGAAGTGACGTAAAATAACGAATACCGATTGGTCTTCCTTTCTCTTCAGGCAACAATTCGAAACTTTTCTGAGCGCGGGAGATGTCGACATTGACGTTCTACCCAGTATATACTGATCGGATAACATCCCCCCGAACTTTGAAACTCTCCCTTGTAATTCCAGCCTTTTATATTTCTGACAGAAACAATTCTTTTATGTTTTCTTCTGAAAATGCAGATTTATGCCGATATCTGCTATTAAAGATCTTTTGAAGAAGTGTTCTGAAAGATCTTCTGAAAAATTGTGAAGAAGACAGAAAAGTAATCGACATTGGACAGATTCTTTAACCCCCACAAACGGAAAAATCATGACTAATAAAAATGCAATATATGTATTTTTATTAGTGTATATATGTAGTTTTATTATTACACATGAATAAACATAGTAAGAAAGTATATATTTTTTATTTTTTGGGGGTCTCCAGAACGAATTAATCAAATTACAATAGAAACCTGTGGTAAATCGATAATCGGTTAACGAACAATTTGGATAGCGAACAAAGTCTTGGAACGGATTATGTTCGTTAACCGATCACCCACTGTATATCAAAATAATTCATCTATGCAACTTGAATTGCAGCCCAGAGATATAAGGAAGCTATGATAGCTTGTAAACAGGAAGAAATAAAGCAAGGGAAAGAGTGGAGTGAGAAGTTGATGGTTGCCGAAATGGTGAAAGAGCTAAAGACGATGATGATTTCTTGCAGAAGCTAATAAGGAGATTGGGGACATTAATACACATTTGGAAGAACTGCAAAAGAGGTTTATTTTATTCTGTAATTAATAAAGAGTATTATTATTTTGTGATATTTACTCATTGTGAATTGCATAATTTGGAAAAATTGTATTGGGTTTATATTATGAGGTTGACAGTATCAGTTAGAATTTCCATATTTTAAAAAAATTGTCATGTTGAACTTGCATGTGATATATAATCTTCTGCACATTTTGATGCAACAGTATATGAATTGATTAATCAAAATGAAAAAAAAAAATAATCAAATTTTATAATAAAGGGAATTGAACTGTGAGTTTCATTTTGGTAACATCAAATAAATTGTGAACTGTTTTTAATTTATGCATTGAGTTGTTTTCAGTTAGTCATGGAAAAATGCAGGTTTTCATCCTAGAAAACATGGAAATCTCAGGGAAATAGGAAATTGTTGGACACTGAGAGCATACTAACTTTTGGTATATAACTTGTACCATATTGCTGCAAACAGTTAATTATCAGTCTCAAAGTGAAACTGCTTATATTTGTGATAATCAAGTTTTTAACACAAACATTGAAAGAATTTTGAATTATTGCTACGTACAAACTTATTTGCTGTAAGTATAGGACATACTTTAAATTTAACAATATTAAGGCACTGGAAACTTTTGATAATGGAAATTTACAATGACAAACTGCTGTGAATTCTGAGAATAACAGATTGGTTCCTTAAAGGCATCAGATTGCCATTTTGGAACAAAAAGTTGTTATTTCTTAAACACATTATTTATATTTTGATTTTTCAAATTTTTTCTTTGTAATTAAACTTTATTCATAATTACAAATTTCCTTTTTAATATCAGTTTTTTTAGAAAATATTTTAATTTTTAATATATCTTATAATTTTATTTAGCTTACATCAAGAGAGTTATTGTTCATCCATCATTCCACAACATTAGTTTTAAAGAAGCAGAGAAGATTCTAGCAAATATGGAACAAGGAGAAGTTATTATAAGACCTAGCAGTAAAGTAAGATTTAGAATGATTCCATTATAATATATAAGATTTTATGATTTTTTAATTAAAGAAACTAATAAAATATAAAATAATTGTCAAATATTGTTATTTTGTTGAAAAAATATATATACAGTAGAATTTCATTTCAGTGGATTGCTCAGGCCACTGAAAATCGTCTATTGTTCTAAGAATCTGTTATATCACGGATAACAGATATCCTGCACACTCAGGAAAATATCCATTATTTAACCTTCTGTACATGAAATTATTCTGTTTCTTTGGATTGCTCTTCTTTATTCTATAGAAATATATATATTACAAGATTGTACAGTATGCTGTATATATGTATGACAAAGCTGACAGAAACTGTATGTATTGTAAGCATAAAAGGAGATGCTCATTAGCACTTCACTTGACTTCACAATTGGTTAAAAAACTCATCCATCTTTGTTTGTTTTGATGTTGCTTTTCTGCCTACTGAATACAACTGCTTGATATTAGCAATGTCATGTACTTTACATCCTGTTTGTTTATGCCAAAACTTGTCAGGAAGGTCTTCATGACTTGGAAAGACTTGATGGTTTGCTAAATTTTGGCACTACACTTTGACCAACATCAGAATGTTCACTAGATGGCTTCTTCTCAATCTTATCAGCATGCTCTCTTGGTACAATTTGTCAATTGTACTGTCCTGTTCATAACCTAGATATAATAAGTGCTCTATAAATTCCTGGAAACATCTACATATTAACTAAATGTTGAAAAAAAGCATAGTTTAGAAATAGATGGGGCTAGAAAAAAAATTTGTTATTCCGAACAATTGTGAGATGCCAAGGGCATAGAATTTGACCTATGTCACTTACTGACACACAATCATTAGATTGGCTCACTACTTTTAAGGAGGGTTTTTTATAATGTTTAAAAAAAGATCTAGAGAGTAAATTCTAGATCTCATCAGGATCCTTGACACCAGTTAATCAGTTTTGTAACCCGCGGATTAACACGTGTATTGAATAGTTAAGGAGATGATAAGATAGTTTTGATTCAGATATTGTAAGAGACATTCCTTTAACATTAAAAACAAATATTTAATAAACAAGAAAATTATACAAAGTGGACCTTCAAATATATCTTTATATGAGAGAGATGACAACTTCAATTTAAACCATACTACCTCAAAATATGTTTATCTTCTTCTATATTTTTGGTTAATACAAATGTTCTTATCTTGATTAGTTCTTTAACAGCACATCAATAAACATTTCCTTCTTGTATTTAGTAACTTAATAACTAACTTTGTATGAACTATGGGAGTCGAATATGGGCGTTGGCTGTAGGGAGCTTATATGGAATACGTCCTTCTACTATGGAATTTCGTGGTGTACTCGTAACTAAGGGCGTTGGCCTTAAGGAGACAATATGGAATACGTCTGTCCTCTTTGGGATCTTTTGGTGTATTCCTCGAACGATACTAAAGAATCCCCTTTTTTGATGATTTTCTCCAATGAGAGAATTGTATTATTCCCACGTACTTAGGAAGAGTGGGGGTTTAAAGAGGGGTAATTGGACTGCATGTGACTCAAATTTGTGAAGATAAGGGAAAACAAAAAGGATGTTGAACTTCCGTTGAGAAGGAAGTCAGTTTTACCAGTTTTCTTCGCTTTTAACATTAAAACTTTTCATTTAAAATCAGAAATATTATTTCTAAAAATTTATGTATTTGACATCGATTTTCAATTAATTGGGGGGGTGTGTCCAGAATCTCTCACAATTGTTTTGCAATCTGTTAAAATGAGATTCTACTGTAGATATATTGGATAATTAATTAATTATATTATTTTTGTTGTAATAAAATCATTATTTTAAAATTGTATACAACAGTCTATTTATATAACTTTCAGCAGTTTAAGAAATTTTTCATTATTATTTAACTATTAAAAAAAATACAAATATTTATAATAGACTCACAAAAAATCTTTAAGTGACCAGTAAAATATTTAATTGAAAAAACAACAAACGTTTTTGACCGTATTTTTGGTTACGTGTAAAGGTTACATTGTTACCAGTACCCGGTAATGAGTAACCTTTACACAAGATAAATATTTATATTGTTGAAGGAATATTCAACAGTTTGAAAATATGATTGTATTCTGTATATAAAAATATATAGTTTGCAAATATTAATTAATAATCAGAAAGTAAACTGTAATTACAATATTAATTACGATCTAGAAATAAATGATTATACTGTAAAAGTTAAATTATTTGTTGAAGAAGTTGATATATTCTTTTACTGCTTCAAATTCATGTGTGACAGTCAATTATAAAATTATGTAATATTTTCAGATTTATTATAAATAACATGGTTTTCAAATCTAGTCTGTATAATTCATTATAGTTTAAGATATTTGATATTATTCAATATTCAAATTTTTTTTATTAGGGTGCAGATCATTTGACTGTAACTTGGAAAGTACATGATGGTATTAATCAACACATAGATGTTCGTGAAGAAGGTAAAGAGAATGCATTTAGCTTGGGACAGTCTCTTTGGATAAACAATGAGGTAATTAAAGATAAAAAAAAAATAGTTTTGTTTATTAAATCTAATAAATTTAGTTGTTGTGTTTTTATTTACTGTTCTACATAAAACACATATGTAGCAGTAAACTTGGCACAGTTTGTTTTGTCTGAACATGAACTAAGAATTGAGTTGAAGCACTAGCATGTCAATAATAATGTTTTGGAAGAGGCCATCTATGATGATCTCTTGCCGCTACTTTGGCACTGACATCACTGCTGGCATAAAATAATTTTTAAAAATTGCATGTACTTGTACTAGCAACCTTGGACATTGTCACTTGGCCCCACTGTATTTTGAAAATGAAACCATGGGTTCTGCATTTTATTACATTTTTAATTTTCTCATTTCATATTATATAAAATGACAAAATTTAATCAAAATTGACCAATCAAATTCTGAGAACGAACTCAATTCTGTAAGCAACATAGAAGAGGCTTTGCTAATGCTCCACCTCTATAAAAGAACTATATTTGTTATGCATTTTGTGCAGATTTTGGTCTGGACTTATTTCTCTGCCTAAAAGTAAAACATTGCTTATTCACCAACTAAAAATAATTTAAGTGATTTATAATTTTTTAAATTTGAATAGTATGTAAGTCTTGCTTGTATTGATTGCAATTTTCAGTAGATTATAATCTTATGAATCCTTAGGAATTTGAAGATCTGGATGAAATTATTGCACGATATGTTCAACCAATGGCTTTACATGCGAGAGATCTCATAAATTTCAAGTATTTTAGAGATGCAAAAGGCGGGAAGCGAGAAGCACTAGAAGAATTATTGCTCGAAGAGAAGAAAAAAGCACCTTCCAAAATTCATTATTTTGTTTCTGCCTGCAAAGTCCATCCTGGAACTTTTGTACTTTCTTATCTTCCTCGTAATAAGGTATGAATTGTTTTAATATGCATTGAAAATATTTTATGAATGCATTATTTTATTTATGGAATGCTTGGATCTCATGGATTTGCAAAGTTCATAAAATCCAAAATTTTGGGATAGTTTAATAATACATTTCATTAAAAATAATACATAGTAAATATTATTTTAGAATTATAGTTTAGAACAAACACCTGGATAAATTCTTATCCTAAAATGAAATTATAAATGTTTTTATTATATTGTACTAAAATATATAATTTACATGAAATTACATCTATTTTCTATAATTTTATGTGAATTATACAAAATGAAACTGAAATCTTTGGTTTTTCTAGATACAAAAAGTAAAATAACCCATATCCTAAAGACATTAAGCTAATTCTGATATTAATATTGTTTGGGCATGATGTTTTTGTGAGAAATCTTAAAGTAATAATTATAATAAAAAATGTAAAAAGGAAAGTTTTTCAGAATGCTGTTCTATACTTTGGTCTCTAGTTTACCTATGATTCAACAATATTTTGGGTAAACAATAATGTGTCACACAAAAGCATGATTTATTGCATAGCATTTAAAAATCAAGTATTAAATGTGATCAACATTGGCTTATGAAATAATTATCTTATTTTAAATTAAGAGAGGCTTGATGAAAATCTGGAAGAGAATTATTATTATAAATTATTTTAGGTGTTAGAATAAAAACCTTAATGAATACTTGATAATTTTTCTTTTCCTAGAAATGAAAGAAGCCTGAACAGTCTTGATATAAATTTACTTTAATGTTTATAATCAAATTTTAAGAAGGAATTTTATGGTTTATGAAATATATTCATAAAACAGAATTATTTAATGTTGAAATACTATATTAAATTTTAATTACCTTTCTAACATTTTATCAAATCATGTATATTACCATTTTACTGTAAATTGGATAATTTATTTTATAGGTTAGACACGAATATATTAAAGTTACAGCCGAGGGGTTTAGATACAGACAGCAAGTTTTCCATTCGATAAATTCTCTCTTCCGTTGGTTCAAAGAACACTTCAGAGACCCGGTGGCGACCACTCCCGGTGCCATGACTGCCCGTACTCCTCTCGGTCAGTCGTCCTACATCGGGACCACCCCGAGTATTAATGTTGCTAGTAAGTATTTATTATGTATTTTTCTCTCTAATTAATTATACAGTAGAACGTCGTTTATCCGAATCAATTGGGGACTCGGGTCGTTCGGATAACTTATTTTTCGGATAACCGATTACGTATGAAAAAATATATTAACCTATCTCATCCTGAAATTTTTCTCCGTTGCGTGTCGCTTTGCGTCGAATTTTCGTCGATGTTAAGCCCTAACGTAAACTTTTTAAAATAATAATCGTGGCTATTGTATCGTTAAAAATTATTTCTTTATTTTGTACAAACAAAATAAATATATTGAAAAATATAAAAACAATAAAAAATTATACTTCAGAAGTTAATTTAGTATCAGAAACGTAAAATATTTAAGCAGCCCAAGACATAGCCAAAGATTGCAGTGCCACGGCATCAGCGAAAATTTAAATTTGCCAACTGGAATTCTTTCGGATAAATGACGCTCTACTGTAGTTTATTTCTAATATTTAAAGAAATTATAAAATGAAAAAATAAACAAATGGCAATTAGTATCCAAATGAACATCTGTTTAGGCTTCATATTGTTTTCACATTAAAAATTAACAAGATACAATCTGTTACATTTTTGTGAATAGTCTAAACTTCAAATATGAAGATACAATCTGTCAATTGGGTTAAATTGCATCAACCAATTTAATTTAAATTAGTTAATAGTTATTGCTCTTTTGGCAGATATTAGGTTATCTCAGAATAATTTTTTTTAATAAAAATAATAATCAGTTATGAAATTGATAGCAAATAGTTATTAAAATATATTATAAATGAAATTTTACCAGTATACATAATCTAGCAAGAAGTTATTTCGTGTTAAGAAACAATATCCCACCCTTTTCCAATACTCTTAAATTAAACTGTCCTGTTGAAATATTTATTAATTATCAAATGTCTTAGGTAATATTTTTCTTTATGTTTTGGCAGACACTAGTTTAGTTTCAAACTGGAGTGTCTGACTAAAGTTTTAAATAAATTTTTTGTGCATTGTTACATAAATTCACATTCAAATCCCATAAAAAAAAAACTGGTAGAATCAGGTTCAAAAGTAAAGCTCAGTGAAAACATCTAAATAAAGAAAACTTTTGAAAATTGTGGCAGAACTAGATTTGATGGATAAGACTCAACAATATAATAAAGTGCACATTACACACACTACTTTTCAAGAAGTTTTCAACGAAGCAATCTCACAGTGATAAATCACTATGAGATTGCTTCACAATAAATCAGAAAAATAAGCATCATCACAAAGGCTTTGAGCTTTACTTTCTACTTTAAAGTATCTGTATTAATATTGCTCAAAGGTGCTGTAATGTTCAGCCAAATTATTATACCTGCAATGACTTTAAAGTACTAAGTCTTTTTCTGTGCTGATATTTTTCCATTTTATTATCACGGTGACATTGCTTCATCCAAAACTTCCTCTATTTGTAGACTGTGTAATGTGCACTTTATTCACTTGTTGAATCTTACTGTCAACTCTGTTTCTGGTATTTTTCAGTCATCAATAATTTCATAATAGATTTGTTTTTGTGGTAATTCTATATTCACTTTACAGTCATGCGATAACATTAAATTTTGGAATATTATTGGTATTATTTTATGAATACTCAATATTTTAAAATAAAACCTTCAAAAGGGCAAACGGGAAGCGGTCGACTCTCCAAAGAGCCGTTAAATATATCCAGACTCTTCCCGGACCGTTCGGTAGCTCCTCGGCGTTGCTATTCTCCCAGTTGTAAATCTAGGCGACAAAATGCCGACGGCATAAGTCCGAAACGATCCAACAAATTTATTCAAAATTTAAGACATCCATAGTACTCGCCACAAAAACTGATTATTTTAAATTTCATCCAGATCGGTTTGTTGGTCGTGCAGATAATAAGGGTGAAATTTGGCACTTCTAACATTAAACACGTAGAGCTTTACTATGGACGGGGACAGATGTACATAAGGACTAATAGGGCTTAAGCCCCGAGCCCCCAAATGTCAAGAACACCCACAAAAATTGAATCATCATCATAAATTTTTAATACTTTTTCATTAACAATGAGCACTTATAGTAAAAATAGTTAATATTAATTAATGTAATCGGTCAATAATTAATCAATGTAAATATTTCTTTATTTCTTATGTTTTTTTATACAAGATATAAGGTTTGTCATTCAACACCATTTCATAAGTAAATATATTTCAACTCTGACTTTGATGTTGTTAAAAATGAATTTTAAAGATCTAACAAAAAATGGGGCCGCGACTGTAAGCCCTAGGCCCCGACTGTAGAGCACCATTTTGCTCTAGGATATCAAAAAGACTAGTGAAAAAATATGAAATTCTGGCCAAACTCCTCTACAAATGAAAACACATATTAAGTTGTCACAAAAGGATAAGATTGAATAAACCGTACTACTGTATTTATTTTAACATGTTGGATGATTTTCCCGACAGACGTGGATCCTCAAGCTATTCAGAGAGCCGCTGCTAATCTTCCCAGTCACGTGTTCAACACGCTATCTCAAGTTGCGGGTCAGACTCCCGGCTTCCAGTCTTCTAATAATTTCAACAGTGCCGGCTACAGCGGAAGCGGTTTCAACTTCCAGGTAAGCGCCCACCGAGTACGTCTTCGTTGTTTTTTCGACTCCTCCGTCGTCTAACCGGTCCTTTGCACTTTTGGCAGCCTTACACTCCATCTCAACCCATAGCCACGCCCATGGTGACGCCTTCTTACCACGCGGCCACCACTCCCGCTCACTCGGTGACCACTCCCAGATATCCGCAGACGCCCCAGAACAACTGGAACAGAGCGGCACAGACGCCCAGGGCGCAGACTCCTTCTCACCACGGCGCTTCCACCCCCGGAGGACCCAACAAGTAAGTTTTATTTCTTCTTTTTTTTCATTACGGGAAAGCAACGGGTCGGATTAAGAACGAATTTCCTTGGCGACAGGTTACCGTCTAATCCATCGGCCGCCGACTGGAAGAGGATGGCGGAACAGTGGGCCAAGAACAGGAGGGAAGAGACCAGAATGCCCAGGGCGCGCCATGCGCGTAACACCAACGTGTCTCCCAGTCCCATGATCGAGTCGACGCCCGCAGCAGACAGCACTCCTCTCATCGACGAACAATAAATGCACCGACCGACACACACTGTACATAAGACAAATGCATCCCTTCTTGCCGCGACGTGTCGTCGTTCTCCTCCCCCTTTCCCCGTTCGTTTCCGACGAAACGATAAAAGACTCGTTAGAATCGACCATTGAATTTTTAACGGGAGGAGATCGGATGCGACGCGCCGCGCGATTTTTCGTACTTTTCATGGATATCGACGTAGAGAAAAATAGCACGAGAGAATTTTGTACGCGTAGCCGAAATGTCCGACGTCCACCAATCGTTATTAAAATTTCACTTTTGTAAAATCGTCTCTTTCGTCAAGACCTAGAAGATGGCTGGTGGCCGCCGGAAGTGTTCTAATTTATTGATCGATTGGCGCGTGATTGCAATTATTTCCGGAGGCTCTTCGCTGCCCAAATTGAATTTATCGTGGTAAAAAGACCGATAGAAAAATAACACGGAGCGGCCATGGACGCTGATTATATTAAATAAACCAGTTATTTCGTATTTTCTTTACTGTGTCGTTCGACCATTTTGGTGTTTTAACGGCTACCAATCGGTTCCCGGACCACACTACTGCGTGATAAACAGTTATTAGTTAATATATATATATCGAGCGTTAAGACGATAAAATCGGATGAATTCGAATTAAAGTAACATTCGGGTGGGCGCTAGATCGAAGCTACTTTACGTATTTCGTGTTAAATAAAGAATTAATATGGCCAAATGACGTAACTCGTAAACCCCAAAATGTGCGCCTACTTCGCTACTAATTCTTACTATTTGAGATACTTGGATTTCACTTACCAAGGCGATCGAATGTGTGATTAAGGATACACATTCAATCTTTCGACAAAATACCAAGGAAGATTTATAAGGTACACTATGGTATTTGTCGAGATTTGGTAAAACCTTGCATTTTCTAATAAACGGTCAAAAGATTTCTTACAGAATCGTAACCAAGTTTTATTGAACATAGACGAGAAACTACATACTTAAAAATGAATATATACACACAAACAGTGCGGATCACACGTATCTAGGGGACAAGGCAGGAACTTTGTTGTTTTTATATTGTTTGCCTCTAACGATAGCGGATTGGTTACATCTTTTTAGCTAGGCCACCTACTGTATTTCTGCCGAGTGAAATTGGTGCGACTAGTATATATACTGTATTTACTGATTATCCGATAGAACAATAAAATTGATGATATAACACGTTTGGAAACGTTAAAATTCCTTATCGTACGACTACCGTATTTACCGGTTACGAAAAAGTGGAGAGAATCGAATACCAGTAACGAACCCCCGAATGATTTAGTTAGTCGGGATGAGGAGCGTGAGGCGCTGTCTCGAGATCTTCCGAGGTTCAATTATTCGGCACAACTTTAATCGACGTCATACAGAAACATACGAAAGCGCCTCGTTACTTAAAATGCCAAACCGATAATCATAGGCGAAAAGATAATAGAGAGGAATCCATCCGCGGGGTGCGAAAGATTCATCGAGATTAACATCAACCAATGGAGAAAATATCAGAAATACGGTGAAAATTAAATACTGTATACCGCAGACACGCGATGTTTTCGAAATCTTACTTTCCACAATAACGTTTTAGAAGTTCTCCATGCTTTTAACGGTAAGTATTGTGACGCGTTAACCGCATTTAAGGAAATAAATTACTCGAAAACTATTTTCGTAATTAAAAAACAAGTGTGCCTATTACATAAATTTAACGTTGTATTTTACTCACTCTTTAAACTAAAAAACATACTTTAAACTTTGAAAGTTTTAATTGCAATTAATATTGCGTATTCTAACAAATAATTGTGTTGCTTAATAATTAATAGACTACTAATATTATAAAGAGGTAAAGTTTGTAAGTTTGGATGCAGCAGGTAATCTCCGAAAGTACTCATCCGATTTCAAAAATTCTTTCACCAATATTTAGAATGGAACTTCGGGGTGGACATAGGCTGTATATTATTCCATTAACATTCGTATAAATTAAAAGATATCATCTAGGATTAAGGCTTTTATGTTTAACAGATGGCGCTAACTCCGCGAGTTTGCTTTTCTGTGAGGATGAACTAAAGCGGATCATCATCTATCTATCTATATAAATAAAAATGTAACGTTCGTTTGTTCCTACCGATTCCTTTGAAATTTTCACACAACGCCGCATTCGAATACGCACGTGTTTTTATATACGTGTCGGAATTTCCCCCACTGGGAGAGAGATGGACGGGATTAAGGCTTACGGTGAAGAACTCCGCTTCTGTTTATACTATTTTAGATGCGGTTTTTTGCGTTTTTGATGGCGTTTTAATAGGGTACGTGGAGAGAATGTACACTATGAAGGGATTTTTCGAAAAATTCCCCCCACGGGGGAAGTGTTATACATTTATAACAGATATATTTTGAGCCACAACAAGGCGTGACGGGGTCAGCTAGTTTTATTATAAAAGTAACAACGGAATAAAGTTGAAGTTTAATAAATTTTATAGCTGTACTTATTTAATTCCCTGTAGAAAAGAATTAAATTTCGTTTATATTGGAAACTGCCCTCATTTAGCAACTTTCTTATCCCTGGCAAACTGCACGTATTAGTTAAACTTTTCTAAAAAGCAAATAACTTTTTTCTACGGGAAATAAAATTTTTCTGGACAGAACGGCCAAATGGATAAAACATCATTTTCATTCAGTCGGGCGCGCGACATTTACCAATGCGGCAAATGTTCGGGATTAGCCAAATCTACCCGAATGTTCGCAGTTTTCCCACTCGAACGCATCGAAGCGGACAAATATTCGTCCCGGCTACGTACAGAACATTGGACGAATAGGCGCCAATATGTTGTTTGGCAACAGCGCGTCTATAACAACTTCGGGCTTTAAACTCGATCGATCGTTGTCCGAGATTGCCGGATCCCTAAAAAGGTAGACCGACATATACGGGTATACCTCGACTTACGTCGTTTGTCAAAAAAGTAGACGGAAAAATAAAAATCAAGTTTAAGTCATTTTATTCGACTTTACGTCCGTCCGCTACAAATATCCGAGTCGTAATATCACCAGAAAAACGTTTAAAGCGCATAAAATCCTATTAAAATATTGTCGCGGGAACAAACGGCAATCAGTCGTTAGAAACACAAAGGAATTTATTAACTCAGACAATGTACAACTGCAGCTTGCAGTAGGAGAACAAGGAGCCCTCTCAGCCTGACAGCTGGCTGTTATATCCTACAGAGACGTGGTAATTGGTTGGTATTTACATAAGTTCTCAGACCGGGAGAACTTACCCACACAAAAAAAAACTTGCATCAGTGAGGGTTGAACCGGCGACCTCTGCTCGATAGGCCGAGCCGCTAACCTCTACCCCACGAATGACACGGTGGGAAGAGCAAGCCGCGGCAATATATACAAGTATGTACTGTATTTACAGCGCACGCATTGGTAAATTTAGATTAATTTTTTCTGTACTCTATTAAAAACTAAAATTTATTTGTAAGCTTAAAATAGATCCTTATTAACCATATATTATTAAAAATGCACTAATAAATAAAATGCAGAACCGGGAATGGTAATTTACGGTTTAGCCTAGCGACGAGTAGATTCGACTTAGGTCGCCTCTCCCGGAACCAATTACCGACGTAAGGCCAGGTATACCTGTATTAGTAATTAAGATGCCAGGGTGGTAAACAACGTAAGGTGACCGTAAAATTCTTCTCTATTTTCATTTGCGATATTTTAACGTTGCCAAATGACGGAAGAGCCAAGAAAATTTTAAAGGGAACGAAAACTCGGATTTATTCTCTTAAGCCAGCCATTATCGAATGGAAGTCGAAAGTTCTTTCGCCATTCTTTCCACTCGCGCTTTGGCCTCCACGTAACTACGCATGGAAAGAGAATTGGCCAGTTTTTCTCCGTCCGAAAATCTCTGGCGTAAATAGAGTTTCTCCTCTCTGTATTCTGGTCGTTCCTCCGAATAAGCCTGAAATTAAAGTCGGTTCAGTCGATTTACAGGACACGGAATTGCCGTTTATCGAATCGTTTACTTTTCGGTCCCTCCTCCATCCCACCACCGTAACGTAGATGGAATGCAACAATAGAAATGGCCAAACGAAGAAGAAGAGCAGGTTCAGCGCCGACTCCGCTCGGTAGCTTATCGTTCGAACCCGTTCTCTCCTGAAAATAAAACACGATGTTACACTTTTATATCATCGTCGAAAGTAAGAAGAAGCGACGTTTTACGTGTCCGGGTGAACGGGATGTCCGTCTTCGAACACTACTCTGGCTTCCCTTAGCTCCGGTTCCCAGTAACGGGCGATCTTCCTCCTGCCAAATAGACAGCTCTTTATGCCGAAGTGTCCGGCTGCCGGCCACAGGGTCAGCCTAACAATTTCCTTGGCTAATCCTGAAAAGACAGAGGAGAAGAGAAGAACTAGGGGAAAAGAGTTACAAAAACTAAAACTAACTTACCTAGAACCAGGAAGACGACGATTACCGCCGACGCCATTCTCAGTCTAATAGCGAAGTGGGGCGTCGGACGACCAGCCGTCACCGGAAGCGAACCCCGAAAACCGGAAGAAGCGAACGCTTTCTGGGAGATGGAACGACACCGAAAGCCGTCGTCACCGCACTGAAGAGAAAAAGCCAATAAAAAAGCAGCCGAAGAGCCACCGAAAGGCGGGAGAAAACGAAAAACTCACCGAACATCGACAATACTGATAGCAAGAACAGTAACGTCCTCTTCGGAAGAGCGCTTCTCTGGAGGCCACCGTCCGTCCACTTCGGACCGACCTCACTTCCACTAGGAAAAGATTGGTCATGGAATCTTTTTGGTCGGTTTCGAAACTGCGACCGAAGGGACTTACCCGAACAAGAGAATTCCGAGATCCGGGCCGAGTCGAGAGAAAGGTCCAGGACGACGCTTCTGGAGGATTGGGGAGAGACCGAGACGCTGGAGGTACGGGACGAACAGTCAGTCGCGGATACGGAGAAAGAGGCCGGAGCCAGACCCGTGTTGGTGACCAGCGCGACGATAATCGGCACTCTTCCAAAGTATTTGGTGACGACGAACGATATTTGGGCCCGACGGCTAAAGGAGCAACGGTCAGCCATGCAGAAAATCCTAAAGAAAAACCGGCAAGAGAACTCACCCCGGAGACAGGACGCTGACGTTGGCGGCGTTCATCTCTAGACGCAGACGAGCGGAAGAATTTCCAGACATTTCCAGGGCCAACCAGTGACGTCGGCGGGCTCCGTCCACCAGGAGGGGCCGGCGCGAAGGTTGGGCGTAGAAGCGCAGAAGATAATCGCCCTTCAGTCCGGCGCGCAGTTTGGCCTGCGGAATTTCCGTCGGTACCATAGAATTTGCGGTGGTTGGAAAGATAAGCGAAAATACTCACCCTGTCTCGAGTCCACAGGTCCAACGGTTGATTCTTCAGACATCTAATGGGAAAGAAGAGGTTAGAAAGGATAAATTAGAATAAAGCGTAAGAAGAGAGAGACACTCGCGATCCTCGGGCTTTCAGGCATTTGTTCTTCTGCCGGTAGAAGGCTTCGTACGAAACGCCAATTTTGTCGCAGGAGGTTCCCGATTCGTCTAGAGAGGATTCGGGCACCAGCAAATAGTCGTCGGCACCATCCTGCAACGACCGTGGGAAAAATCATTTGAATTCGGACACGATAAGATAAATACCTGAAAAAGATACCTGGAAAAGCGGAGGTATATCTTCTGCGCCCAGTTCGGGGCTGGGAGCGGGTATCAGCAATCGACGGTTATCGAGGCGGAGCGCGTCTTCTGGCGGGGAGGGAGGAAAATATTCGACGGTCAACTGAAAACGGGAATTTTGTTAAGGAAGAAAGACGAGAAGAATGAAGAAAGAGGAGGATTACCGATTTCTCCTTTCTCCGAGTGGTTCGGCTTCCCACTGACAGTTGTCCGTCGATCACTCTCCTCCAGACGGTGGAACCCGCGGACGTCTCCGTTCTGGCGTAAATATCGAGATAGACGGCTCTACGAATTTCCGGTTGGCCTAGAGACGTCACTAAATACCTGAATCGAATTATGCCACCTATTTACTTCCATACGCTTCATTTATTTAAAATTATTGTAGTTTAATATTTTTAAATGATATTTTCAAAGGATTAATAGCTATTTTAGGTAAGGGTGCCTTTCTTTTTTTATATTATTATCGCGCCATTTGCTTCTTCGAAATGCGCTTTTGTTACCAGAATATGGACGCGTGCGTCCGATTAGCCGGATAATCGGATAACGCCGTCCGGGCGTTATCCGATTATCCGGCGTTACGGACGTGGAGGAAACCCGGAAAACTCCACCTGGCCAGGCGCGAATCCACCACCGAAGTGCCAGTGTTGGGGAACGAAGACCGCTCGGCCACTGTCGGGTCCCTTTTGGATCTCTTGGCTTTACTTAACGACTGTCATCCAGTTTCGGCGCTAGCGGAGTCTTACCTGGCCACGCTACTAGCTCTAAAGTAGGATGCGGCGGTTATTAGGTGAAACAAAAAAAACGAATTTTCTTAAAACGACCTTAAGCGGAGAAATAAAATTGAACGGGATAATTTGGATAAGAATGTCTGTTAAAGCCGAATGTTAGCTTGTGTAAAGTACATCGGGCGGCAAATTCTTTCAAATGGCATTCTACACCAAATCTTTTCTAAAGTTGGCTTCCCGGCGCCTCCTTTCCTTTTCTTCGTCTCTTGGCTGACAAATCGACGCTTTTCTTGGATGTCTTTACTCCGGAATACGCAAAGTATATCCCGCCGGTCCGCTTCTTCGCATAAATGGTAACCACGTATTGGAGATTAAGCAATCTTTCTGCTATTTGTTTAGTTTTTACAAGGGCCTGGTGACCGACACCGAGTGTATTTCTTGGCCATCTCTTTTGGAATACATTAAAGTTTCCGCCAATAGCTGCGCTAATCTACCGCATCGCTTAGCTTTCTTATTCTATCCACTATCCGGCCATAATTTTTTTTTTTTAACTCTTTCCACCCCGCGGACACTAGGAGAGTCTCTTTTAGCGGGCTCGTTACGGGTTCGGCCGGGCCCACGATAATATACATTATACAATATGGGTTCGGCGGCCGGGTGGGGAGGGACGGTATCCGGACGGACCACCCCCGAAAAATTTTGGGGGATATATCGACCCGACCGGATTCGAGCCCGGGTCGCCCGGAGCGGTAGATCGTCCGGCCGTCGTCCATCCATAATTTGAATTCCCAAATTTCTGCTAACGAGAAAACCTTATAAAAATAATGGGAAAAAGTACAGCCGAGTTACCAGTCACCAGGTGCTGGAGTATGGACCCCGTGTAAGAAATTAAGAAAAACGCGCGAGATATTGAATAGGTATTTATATATTAAAAAATTATTGCAATAAACTTACTTTGTTTTGTTAGTAGACTAAAATAATGCTAAAGAATGAGAGAGAACGTTCATTTTGATTTTTCTTTCGTCTATCTAAAAAACTCACATACCTTGTACACAATCTATTTGCTCCGCACGTTTGTCTTTATAGAGATAAAGGATCTAGCGGCTTTTTTTTTCATTTATTAATTCCGCAAATTAGTCGCGAAAATCGCGTAGGCCTATTTACGCGACCAACAATCGTATCTGTATTAGATATTTCCCGCGGGTGCGCGGCCGTCTGCCTTTAAGGGTGGTGGCAATTCGCTGGGAAGATGGCGGCCCGATTCGGGGTGTAGTAGTTATACGTCGTTGTCCGCCACAATGCGCGCGTTTAGGACAATCTGTTAGATTCGAATTACGAAGCGACGAAGGTGTCGGTTTAACACCGGGGGATCCGGGATCGAAATCTGGCCAGCAATTCCTCGATAACGTTTCTCGGATACGTCGAGCCCTGGCCACTGGCCGAACCTACGATGGGTACGGAAGCGCCTTCTTAGTGCCCGAGAAGCGGAGACTCAAAAAAGAAAAAAAACTTACCAGACTCTGTTATATCGTAAACAATGGGTGCTAGACGAATCGATTCGACCACAATCCTGTTTTCCTCTTACTTGTCGACCGGACTGGCTTTGGCAGAAACAACAAAATCCCTGAGACCGGGCAGATTTTAATGCAGCGATGTATTAAAATCTCCCCGCCATTCTTTTCAAAAACGAAATCGAATAGTTACCCGACGAAAGGGATCCCATTTCCCTCCCCAGTGTAGACTTCTGCACGGAGATTCGACCAATTCGGTCACGTGGCATCCGGTGTAATTCTGGAAAGTTTCTTGGTTGAAAACCTCTTCTTCCGCTTTGGCGTTGGCGCTCTGCGAAGACTACTTCAGCGCCGGTTTCCTCAAAAATGCGCGTGTAAATTCTCAAAATAATTACCCATAAATAGTGCAGAGGATAAATCAGTTGGCTCTTCTCTTGGCGTAAGACGAACACTAAGGTATCGGCCAGTCTCCGGTCAACGCCGTCTTCCGCATCGTAGACCGCGTCGATCATCACCCGTTCCTCCTCCTCTCCAAACTGAAAAGAACTTCCCACGGGTAATAAAAAGAGCCGATAACGTAGGCCGCGTCCGCCCTTACCTTTAAATTGTCATCCAGCCGAACGTCCAAGCCGAGTTTCTTGTGACAGGGCCAAAGAGCGAACTGGTTGGACGTCGGGGGAGGTTGGCACCGGATGACGTTGGCTGTCATCTTCACCTCGAACGCCCGACAATTGCTCGTATAAAATAACGAAAAGCAAAATAAACCAATCATTTTTTTCCTTCGTTTTCAAATGTTTTCGAACTCTGCTGAACGAAGCGCGTTCGGTTATGCAAATGAGATAGAACGAAGCCGAGAAGTAGAATATCGAAGGCGCAATTGGAATCTATTGGATAACTCGACGTTTAATTAAAGAATATATTTCGAGTGATTGGAATTACTCGATTTTTTTATTTTTCGGAAGAAAAGAAAGTAAAACGCTATCTTTGCATTGTCGAATCTACAGACGACATGGCCATGGTTCTAGGTTTGTTCAACGCTCCGGCTTATCCCAGTAAGTAGAAGTTTTGGTTGTTGGCGTGGCCCGGGAAGTGTCTTCTTCCGTTTATACGTATTTCGCTTTCCTCAGTATTCATAACTCACCACAGAGCGGACACTCGAGCGGCCAAGAAGTATAGAAGTCCGCTTCGACCCATTCCTCAGTATCAGTATTCCAGAGTGAGTATGAAGCTTCTTATCCGCTCTCGATTACGGTCTATTTCGTACGCGCGTTTATATACGAAACACTGGAAACGCCTAGCGTTATTCGGCATTTGGAATGTTGGTTGTAATATTTAACGTTGGCTCCACCGTAGGAAGAATTGTGGGAGTTGGGGTATCTGTCTTCGTCCAAGCGAGTGCCCGAAGACTTGGATTGTAGTTTTTACACGTGAGTAGTTGGAAGGAACCGGCTTAAACAAATCCTCGTCTTACGATTTTATTTGGAATTTTCAGGGCATTCGGTAGGTGGAACCCTTCTCTGTACTTCGACGCTAAACGGCGAGAGGAGAACCAAAACCGGCAAGAAAGGCCGAGGAGGAATTCTTTGGCGGACGGGAAAGTTGTGTTTTAATTGGGAAACGGGGAGAAGACGACCGCCCGACTGATCTTCCGTGGCTTTATATTTACAGGTACGGAAGGAGGAGAAGCCGAAGCCGTTCTTTTCACCACGACGACCGAGGTAGGAATCTGTGTTTTTTTAGCTTATTTACTCGTTCCGCTAATTAAATAAATCGAAACGCTTTAATGCCATCTTCCGTAAACGATGGAGTAACGGAAGTAAAAGGATATCGCTCCTCCATCGAACGGAAATGGATTTAAAGAGCGACAATTTCCGGTTATTCTAAGTTGTATTTGCCAATGAAATAACATTTACGGCCATTTATTGTTGTTTTTCGGACGATGGCACAAGTTGGTTTATGTTGGAATCTACCTGATAAATTGATAATTAAAAATATACATATCGAATGGAAACATTCCCTCTCGAGGTTTTTGGCAAAAAAAAACAAATTAGTCGTAATGGTTAGATATAATTCGACCGTTGCGGTAACGGTGCTTTAATATCGCAGCGGTAAGATTTATTTAATTTCTGTCTTATTGCGTAAACAGAGACTCCGTGTCAAATCTCGTTCGGTCCAAGTTCTTGGCAAGGATTTCCGAGAGCCGTCGACCAGGCCCAAGTTTTCGGAGGATGTCCGCCGCCCGACGGGGAAGTTTCCGACGTGGAAAGGATTTACATCCGCCACCTGGAAGAATACTTGAGAGCCGTCATATTGGGAAGATCGGAACAGGGCGAGAGCGCCTACGACAAATTGGTGAGTGTTTGGCTTTGTCCTCTCTCGTCCTCTCTCGCCCGATTAAACGGGTTCTCGTCGCAGCTGAAGCTCCTTTCGGACGCGCGCTCGGTTCTGCCTTGCGCTTCTATCAGCATCGGGCCTTGGGATAAGTCCAAGGCCTTGACCGAAGCCGACATCTTGGGACGTCTTCCCTTCTCCCCGTCCGATTCTGCCGAAGGTAAGAATGGAAATTGGCCGGGTGGCAAACATTCTACTTTTTAAACTGGTTTTTATTCTTAAGATACGACGGACGATTCCGGAAGAGATTCCCGCTCGGATGTTTCTGGAAAATCTTCTTCTTTGCCGGTAAGTCCGCTACTTTCTTAATGTCTTTCGTTGCCAAATAAAGGTTTCTTTTTAGGAGATCGATCCGATAGAAGGAACTTCGGCCTCGACGGAGTACGATAATCGCCGAGCGTCCGAAGACTTACGGGTAAATCTTCTATTGCGCGGAACGGTCCCCGGCGCTCGACTGCTATTACGAATTTTGGTTTTGCAGGATCTGGCTTCCATCGCTGGCCCCTTCACTCCCACCTCGGTCATCAGGAAAGTTCTTCTAGAGAAGACCAGCAAACGAAGAACCCAGAGTGTGTCTTCGGGTAAGCGACTCGAGTTTCTTTTAATTAGACGTTACGCGTTGATTAAGAATGCGATTTTTCAGACAGAAACGATGCGGAAGATTCCTATACCGGAAATCGACCCTATTTTGGAAAGAAACCCTCCCCTCGACCGGAGAAGACACCGGCTTCCGTTCCGTACTCCGGACTTTACGACGATTTACGTTATCCTCTTCGCAACAGAAGCGAGTGTCGTCCCGATTCTCGTTTCGTACGCTTTGATTTTGGCTAAAACCAGATCGTTTCAGGTTATTCGGTGCCGTTACCGCCTACCTCCCCCGACCTTGGCCAGTGGCAGACGCCTAGATCCTACGGGGCTCGACAGCTGTTGTTGACTCCTTATTCGTCGGTGGCTTATCCCGTGGTCAGAGCTTACTATAGCCAACTGCAACAGATCCTCAGGTGAGACCAAACTCTATTCTTCGATTCCCATCCTCCTCTTCTCCGCATCTTTTCTTTCGTTGACAGGTGCGCTAATTTCTATTCGTTCAACTAGTCGTTTTGGACCCCGGCCGCCGGACTATTTTCTGTATTAATCGGATGTTGAAAAATCCCTTCGTCCATTGTTCGATACGCTCTTTTAAGAGAAGTTGGGAAAACCAAAATTAACAAAATGGATCGATTGGTTTTTTTCTGTTTTTTGAGAAATTTCTGTATAAATAATAACATTAAAGTTTGCTTTTGTCAAAATTGAATATGCCAATCGAATTCGTGCATTTCAGAAACAATTTCGTTTATTAAAGAATGAGAAAATGAATATTCCGCGCTACACACGCGGGTGATTTTTAAGACTTTTTTGCAACTGTAGGTTTGTAAATTTTGTTTACAATTGCTAAACCCCAAAACACGGCGTGCACGGCCTTGTATATATAATTTTCTCGGAAGAGGTCTCGAAGAAACGCGCTTATTAACGGTCGGAATGCATTGCCAATCTCTCTCCCGAGTGCGTATACTTTTCGTTTTGTACGGTCAGTCCTTGTCACGTGATACAGATAGCTTCTGTATACGAGTAGGGTCGAAGACGGAGACGAGTTTAGGAATCATTTTAGAAATGTTATCGGAATCCGAGGAAGAAGAATTCATTTTCATTAATTATTTAGCACAATACGCGTATAAAAGTCAGAAAAAAGAAATCGGTGTGCAAAATAACTATGTTTCAGATATTCTTTCCATCACCATAACCGTGTATTTCTATTAATAGGACTTATCATACTGGTGTATAAGATTACAGCAACACAGTCACACACATTAAAATTGTTTTATTTACAATTACCTGTAATTGTAAATAAAACAATTTTATTCTGTGTGAATATAACAATTTTATTTTGTTATGGTGATTGAAAGAATAACTTGTTTAAATTAAGGACATTGATGCATATTAATTAACTGTGTTTCAGAGATTGCGTTAGAATATACACCACTTTGGAATAAGGAGACTTTACTAAAGGATCTCGTTCCCATTTTATTACAATCAAAAGAAATAGTAATAGGAAAAGGAAGAAATGCGCCGGCAATTTTTAATGTCACTGCGGCTGCTTGCCAACCAAGAATCTTTCGGGTACCAGTAAGCGAAACCATAGATTTTACTGATTCTGTACTAACTGTGAGTGTACTATTCCGTTTTCACACGTTACGGAGGAGTTGGAGACAGATTTGGAGTTTGTCGGAGGACTGCCCGGAGATGCCCGATGACAATTGTTAGAGCTATAAATGTTTCGAATACACAAAACCATATTATACATTGGCCTCGGGCTCGGAAGGCCAGGAAAACTGCTCGGACGTTGGCTACGAAATATGGTATTACCGGAGTTATTGGGTATCGTATAGTAATAGCGTATAGTAATCGAGGCCTGTTTAGAGGAACCCCGAGCGTATACAAATAGAAAGTTCTACGGGGAGTACGCGACGAGAAAACGCGCTTTATCGTTACATCGGTGAAGTTGGCTCCGTTGACGACTGCGCGATATTTAAGAGATCCGAAGTAGAGTAGTCCACACGCAGATTTTCGTATCGTAGGAGACGATGCCTACCAACTTTCAAAGCATTTAAAAGTCCCTACAGAGACGATGGTTTTTTATCAGGTAAAATTATGTTTAACAATAAGTTTTCATCGTGTCGAGAGAGCATTCGCTCATTTAGTTGGTGGGTTTAGAAGGCCGAAGTTTTTGGGTGGGTCTGGCGTGGACTCAATGGTAGAACTTATAGCCGCGTGTCGTACTTTACGTAACATTTGTGTCGTACAGAACGACGAATCAATACGGAGCAATGACGAAGAGAGAGTAGAAAACGGAGCGCGAGTAACAGAAGTGGAAGAGGAGATAACGAACGAGACCGGAAAATGGGATGTTTAAAGAGAGAGCAGATAATGTTAGAAATAATGTCACGAGAAAACAGATACGGGATAAATTAATCGGCTCCTCCATTCATATTTTTCTAAACTAAACTCATTAGTAACATTACGTATATTAATTAAAATAAAGTATTGTGTCGAATTTTTGTTTGGTCCGAACCGGTTACATTATAACTGGAGAACATTATAATTTCTCAATATAAGCAGGGAAAATTCACCAGAAGCTAATAAGTACAGCGAAATTGTTCTCGTCTCCCTCGTACGTCATTTCTCGACGTAGTACGTGCCGTAAATAATTGCGAAACAGCATTTTCTACGTACTTTCTTTCGAGCCAGCGAGACGCAATATATACGTGGTTTTTTGTTTAAATTCCACGACTTTCCCCGATCTTCGCAGCCCTTACGGCGCAACGAATTGACAAAATAAAACAACAGTCGATTTACTACGCGCAATAATTTATTCCGTTAATCCACAACCGTAAAACAGAATGGTTTTGAAAAAAGAGAAAAAAACTAATATTTATTTTTCATTCATTAATAAATGCCGCCATCCATCACAAAAGTATAAATTTATTAAATTTCTCTTAAGCAAAAAAACAATGTTTTATTACGCAGGGGAAGGTGAGGCGGGACGAGGACGTTAAGGTTTGAAAAGTCACTTTGACCAGAATAATATTTTTTTTATTGTCGACAACTACAACATTTGGTAATAGAAAATTTAATTTTTGGAAAACGTTTTTAAAAACAAGAAAATTGAATATTTTAAAACTATACGTAATACGTATACGTTACCGTCTGGCCCCACCCGCGGGGTAAGACGGAGATATTTTATATACGAGAAGGACAAATTAAAACGGTTAAAGCGTCGTTTTCTTCGATATTAGCGCGAGAACAGCGCGTCCGTTTATCCCAACCCTCCGCATTCCGTTTCTCGTTAGGCCTACCCTGGCCCATGCCCGTAACTTTCGATTTTACGGAATTTCTTTCGGTAAACCAAGACCGTTTTCTCGGGGTGCCGAAACTGCCGTCGATCGTTTTCGTCGTGCCCTCAGCCGCCGCTGGTACGGTATATCCGTTAAGATGGCCGTTTTCCGCTATTTTCGATTTTTTCTCGGTTCCAACGCGGGGGATTGGCATTATTTCTACGGGAGAGACTGGAGTAAAATCCCAACGAGTAGGCCTACCGGTGGTCGCGTAATGGGCCACCGTTTCCGCCCCCGGATTAGGCGTACCTCCGTTTTCGCGGTTTCCATCGTCCCGGTGTGTCCCGCCGCCGAAAATACTTCCGGATTCGTTGGCCTCATTCGCGCCCGCTACAAAGTAAGCGAACTTCTACGTTACCTTTTAGACGACGATGTTACGGTATTGGAAGTAACCCTTAAGACCGAAATAAAGTCGGGGCGAGAGGGCGCGGCCAACTAGCTTTAAATTCTATATCATTTTTCCAATATATAAAATACTAAGTTTAAAAATGATCTTTTTATAGAAAATGTATTCCACTTTTAAGTCGTATCTAACTGTAATAAATTTATACAGCGCATAATGCGTTACTTTATTACTTGTTTTATTTTATTGGCGAAAACATTTTTTAAATTTAAATATTATCTTAACGAGAAATAAAACGCCAGACGACGACGGAAATAAAAATTTTTTTTCCACCAAAAAAAAAATATCGTCCGCTTACAAAAGAGCGTGCGCCGAGCGACGGTATCGTCTGGCGCAGTAATTACGAGTAAGTCGAAACTTATATATTTATTTGTTGGGAAAATAATAATAAACGGGCGCCGATATGGAAGAAAACGACGCTTTAACCGTTTTAATTCGTCCTTCTCGTATACGTTACCGGCAAAGTACGAAAAGCCGGCATTCTATACAATACCTAGGCATTGTATATAATGCCCGGCGCTTAGGCAATGTACGAAATACCAGAATTATTACATACTTTCCTTAGGCATTCTATACAATGACAAATGCTATTTAGGCAAAGTATGAAAAAGGCTATTATATAAATGACGTACATTCCTCAAAAATACAAATGTTGTTCTGAAAAAATAACCAGAGTGCCATTAAAAAATTTATTCAAAATACGTAAAGAAAAATGAAAGTTCTTATTAAGGGAAACAACATTTTCGTATAAGAAATTAAAATGAACCTACTCGTTGCCACACGGAAGGCTCCAATGACATTTCGTATTTTGGCACTTTGTTTTACGCCTACATTTGACGAATCCTCGGCCGCTTCCGAGCAATTGCCACTGACCGGAGAGGAATTTCGTGGTCGAGAATGTCTTCGATTCTAAGCCAGTTCTTGGGGCGCGGAGTCAATTGTCATCTCGCGTATACTTATTTTAAAATTCCCTCGGAAGTTCCGAGTCGGTAGAAACCGTCCTCTGTCGCACTCGTTACCACTGCCCATACATTGCGCCAATCGCCTCGCCCCTGGTCGACTTCGGGAATAGGAACTCGCGCGGTAGTTCCCAAACAAGCGGCGGAGAATCTTTTCCCCAATTCATTTTCATTTTTTTGGCTCGTATTTCCAGATTGATTTTAGAATTTATTTTACCTTCGATAGCATTTTCAGTTTTAAAACAAAGGGTGCGCAAAATATCCATTTCGTCGCCTTTACTAGCGTGGCCACGGAGGGTATGAATTTTTTGACGCACCGAGTGCATCACTCGTTTCCTTTAAACACACGCCACGGATATCAGAAACGGAAATCTCTTCGGTAAGCGTGTCTTCATCGTGTTGGTTTACTCCACTAACGACTATAATCTCATCTTGCGTAATCTGATTAGTTTCACTTTTTTCCATTGTTTTGACGCTTTCTATTACTTTTTCTAGCTGCTCCTCTCTATTTGTCTTTTAAAACGTCTTCTGGTAGAAAAGACGATGTAAACCCTACTTTAGGTTGCAGCCAAATAGAGCTTCGTATGGTGTTCTTTCGATCCCAGAATGATAAGCTCTATTTTTCATAAATTGAACGAAACGTAGTCCTTCACTCCAGCGGTCAGATTTATTGTCCCGCATCCGAGTACAGAGCATATTTTCGATATTTCGATTAGCTCTTTCGACACTACCCTGGCTTTGCGAATGGCCAGGCTTCCCACGGACGATCTTCGGTGCTGGCCAAAACTCCTTCCAGCTGGTCACCACATTATTGGCAAATTCTCTGCCATTGTCAGATTGTAATATAGATGGCGCTTCAAGCAACGAGAATATGTCCACTAGGTTGTAGGCTACTTCTTCGGCTCTTTTCGACGTTAGAGACTTAAGAATCACAAATTTTGTCGGATAATCTCGGTAAACCGTAATAAATTTGTATTTTCTATCTGGCTGAGACTGAAAGTCAATAAGATCTACTTGACAACGGGAATTAAATTCGGAAAAATTCATAGGTTTGGCAACAATGCCCTTTTTAATACCTTTGTGTTTTTTCTGGCAAGGTTCACAAAGGTGGATGTACAGTTCAATATCCTGACGCGTAACATTTTTGTATTTGATTGAAAGTTCTTTCGACATTCTATCACGTCCTCCGTGTCCAATAGCCAAATGAGCTTCATGAAGTACGTGAAATAACTCCGAGTCCGTGACGTAATACTGTATAGTACTGACGCCTTCTTTAACGGGATAAATGAGTTTACTTTTGTTTTCTACAATCATCACATCAAAGCGATTCAGCAACCAATAGTCCCTGGGTTCCTTCTTAGTAGTCATTTTGGCTTTTTGTACATCATTTATTAACTTCTGGTAAGTAGTTTCGGTTAAGAAAATACTGTTTTTTGCAGCATTAACTCGAATTTTGCGCAGTTCATCGTGGAATCGTTGTTTCGTGTCTATAGACCATGACACCTTCTCCAACACTACAGCTTGCTCCTCCATTTTCATGGATCACAGTAAAAAACTAATTTTTTGTTGAACAAATTTAAGTAAAATTGCGTATTTTGATATTTTGACACTCCCGAACAAACCGTAAAGTGCGACTGACAAATTCTAAGCCCGAGGCGCGCGTTAAAGTCACGTGCCTTGCCACGTGATATTCGAAACGAAACGGAGATGTATTTCATATTTTGCCGGTTTCTCATTTGGCATTCTATAGAATGCCTAGGAAATTTGTAAAATATGAATCATTTCATAGATTGCCGGCTAGTTTTAGGCATTATATACAATGCCTAGGCATTCTATAGAATGCCGGATTTCAAACTTTGCCGGTAACATATATATAATAAGAATTTTACGCGTAAATAAAATATACGCTATCCGCTTCAAATTACTAGTGTCTCGCATCATACTTTTCCGTTGGCGGGGCATTATCTAACTCCTTTCGGGGAAACATTTTCGAATCGAAATAACGTGACTTCCGGAAGTTCCTATATAGTTAATCGGGGCTTCCGACCTAATCTTTCCATATCCGTTCTCGGCTTTCATCTATCCAAGTCTGTTCTCGCCATTAAAAAAACACAGACAAAATTTATGCCGAAGAGAAAGTTTTGACAATATATTTTTTACACGAGAACAAATATGCCAATAATAATTTATTCTAAGGTGTAAACTCTTTTAGCTCTTACGTTGACAGCTAGCGACGTACGTTAGGGTTTCTCAAACGGGATCCCGGTTGTTTCTTTTTTTCCGCAAATTTCTTCTTATTTTGTGTTAAGGCTGAGGAATTTTTGCAAAATAGAAAGTATAATTAACTCAAACTGTCCGAATACATTTTCATTTATTAATTTTAAACTTACTTATTAGGTTTTTAGATTTTTGCTGCTTATGGCGCGTCACAAATGGTCGATACGTAGCTTATTTGTGGCGGAACTCCGAAAATTCTTTACTCGTCGGAACCCGTAATATCTGGTGGCTTCGATTGCCGCGTAACGCCAAGTTGCGCAAATTGGGTCAGTACCAAGTTTTTCTTCGTAAACCCGATTATTACGGACGAACGAACTGCCGAATTATCGGGCTATAAGCTCGATCTTTCTATTAAAGCGGCCGCGGTAGACAGATCGAGAATATTAGAAAACGAAGTCGAAATCTTCCGGGCTACGAGTTTTATTTAAAAAACGAAAATTACCTTTTAAGTTACAAGTTTGATCTAAGTTTATTTTTCAATTCGATTCAAAGCACTTTGTTGTTGTTATTGTAGACGGTTTCCTGCAAACTTTAATAAATTTTTTCTATTTGTGAAAATTTCTACGCAATTCGAAGGTAATTTTTAATATAATTTCTACGCAGCATTATTAATATGATTTTGGAAGTTGCGGAACGTATTAAATTACTTTAAAAAATGAAAAATAATTATACCATTCGATTTCGAGATACTTTGCGTATCTTAAAAATAATTAATTTTATCCCGGGACGAGCGAAAGACCGGGAAATGAGAAACCCTAGCGTACGTGTATTGTGCACGGGAGCGGATCCGTAGAGATTAATAGGGTTTAAGCCCTGGGCCCCCGGTATCGAGGGCCCACAAAATTTGAATTATTATACATTTTTAATACCTTTTCGGTTAGATTTACCTAAGGTAGTCAAAAGACTCTTCCGGTAACCTCGACGGCACGCGCGTTTACAAATGAAATGCAGATGGCGCTTATCGTACCAATGGTTTCGTATGCAAATTTTCTTCAAAAATTCCCGCTGAGAAAATATGAGGAATTATGCAGATTTTGAGTTCGGTTACCGTGTAGACGAACGGTGCGTGTCGTTATTTTTTTGAATGGCGTTCGTGTTTTTTTAAAGTTTGTACAATTTTCTTTTAAGTTAAAGAGTAGGAAAACTTGGCCAATGGTTTTTACTGTTTATCTGTCGGTTAAAACTTGCCTTTCGCGACGCATTCTACGCCGTTTTAGTTTTCCACTAAGTGGCGTTCGACTGTTCGTGCTCTCGACGAACCTCCCGGAGGTTAGTAATTCATCCTTTAGGCTGCAGTTCCTCGTAGGCTTAAACTTAGACTCGCACTCCAGGCAAATCCTGTCCGAACCACTGATGTATCCAATCTCGTAATTCGCTACGTCCTGTTATCGATGGTTTTCGGGTAGTATGGTGACCTTTATATTTTTCGTCCCTGGTCCAAAAGTAGGAAATGAAACCGAAAGCGGGGAAAAAGTAAGTAGCAAATTTACGTTATTAAAATGTTTTAGTTTAAAAGAAATGTTTAAATATAGACGTTTTGGTTATTGTCGACGGTCGCCATTTTGACTACCATAGGTAAATCTAACCCTTTTTCATTATAATATATTTCGTGCGTACTTTTTTATTCGCACCAAATAACGTTTCTGCTTATTGTTTAGTGCTAGAGATAGGCCTATTATTCTTATTATAACTTTCAGCGTGCTCAAAATTTTGGTCAGGATTCGCCCATATGCGAGGCCTTAGCATGAACGTCTTGGAATTTGTCCCATTGCTACTGATCCGAGAGCATTAAGGCTTAATCAGAAGAACGGCTTCTACTGTACTATTTTAGATGCGATTGTTTTGTTTTCAACTACGTTTAGTCTTCATCGAGTACTTAGGTGTATTAAATTGATAACATTTCACACATCGTTATAAATATTTTCTTATACAGTGGGACCTCGATTATCCGGACTAATTGGGGATGAAGGTAGTCCGGATAAGGAAAAATTCGGATAATCGAAACAAATACATTGTCTTTTAATGATAATACAACACGTTTTCTTTTCGATTCTTTTCGAATCGGTAATATTAAAAATAAATACTGTATTTAAATCGTGATCAAATTTTCAAGAAACAAACGTTTGTATCGAGTTTGGACTGCTACTGACCAGCCCTAACAGACTACCTATTGTTTAAAAGGCCCTCTGGTGGCGCGAGAAGATGGATTTTATAAAATAAAAAGGAGTTGAAACTGCATTTTTATGAATAAAAATTTGACAAACTATTTATCGTTTTACGACAAGTAAAATTTTTTCGTCGCGTTCGCGGCTTTTAAGTAATGCGTAAACCTTCGAAACGCGAGGCATAGGCGGTGGCCCACGTTGCCCATACGCCGCCCTTGGTCATAGAAATGATGTAATTTGAATATAAATTATTTATAAATACGTATGTCGAGTTATATTTTTANTAATTTTTTATTTAATTTAATACTTTAATTCAATTATTTTAAGTAATTTTAATTTAATTATTTAAAAATTTCGCGGCACCCTTGTGGCGTTCTTGAGGCACCCTAAGGTGCCGCGGCACCCGCTTTGAGAACCACTGTTCTATAGAATGCCTAGGAAATTTGTAAAATATGAATCGTTTCATAAATTGCTGGCTAGTTTTAGGCATTATATACAATGCCTAGCATTCTATAGAATGCCGGATTTCGAACTTTGCCGATAACGTATATAAAAATAATATCCCCGTCTTACCCCGCGGACGGGCGAGACGGTGCATTTACGTAGGGGAAATACGGACAAAATGACATAGGCACCATAATTTGAATTTGGCGATCTCAAGCGCACAACTGATCACGACACCACGTTATACGAGCGGCTTTTACTAACCTGTCAAAATGTGAACGCACTCCTCTCATTGATCCGGGTGTCACGGCCGACGACAAAATGATACGTTACGAGTTTTTTTCCTGGCGGCAAGTTTTTTGTATAGATGGTAAGTTTTTCACTATTTTATCTACTTGCGTAGCATTTATTTCAACCCTCAAGAATTTGTTGTTGCACTTAAATAGCTTTTCCATTAAAAATAACATCTTTGTATTTGTTTTATAATTTTATTTTTTTATAACGTTATATGGACAAAACGACATACTTAGGCAACGGACATAATGACATACCTGTCATTTAGTCAAGGAACTTACCTTAATCTCTTAACGTTTTATTAATTATAAAAAATGGTTTCCAAACAAAGTCTTTCATTATTGTTTAAAAGAAATTTTAGTATAAAACTTTATTTCCTTTCTTACATATTATTTACAAACTTATTATCTTTCGCGTAACAAAAAAACTTGCAACGAATCACGTGACTGGACAAAACTCTTTAGTTTTAACTTCTACTCCTAATACGAAGGCAATCAAATCAAAAAATGAGTCCAAAGTTCCGCCAGAGAAAAGGAGACGAAACATTACTAAAAAATTACTTGAAGAAGAAAATTTTCCTAATAACTGTCGTGATGATGATGAAGACTGTCCACGCATATATTGCCATGATCTTTTTTCCCGATCTAAGCCTGGAGAAGACTGGTTACGGTGCTTAAATTGTTTCCGTTGGGCTCACGCTTCTTGCGCTGACGTTTCTAAAAGATCCAAGCGTTTCATTTGTAAACTTTGACAGTAATTTTATAGTTTTTACGTAGTGTGTCATTTTGTCCATAGTGGATCATCTCGATTAAACTAACAATATTTTTTTCCTATTATTTTAATATTGTAAATGTTTAGTATATTTCATAGGTAAAAAACCAAAGATGATTGGTGTAGAATATGACAGTGCTGTGATTTACCAATAAAGAGTTATGAACCTAGAATAAAACCGTATGTCATTTTGTCCGTATTTCCCCTATAGTTTTAAAATATTCAATTTTCTTGTTTTTAAAAACATTTTCCAAAAATTAAATTTTGTATTATATACTACCAAATGTAGTTGTCGAGAATAAAAAAATATTATTCTCGACAAAGTGACTTTTCAAGCCTTAACGTCGTCGTCTTGCCTCACCTTCCCCTACGTAATAAAACTTGCGAACAAAGAGAGCGATTCGGACGTTTTCTCGTCCCGCCATCCCTTTCGAGGTTGACGTTTAGTTCCCCGAATAACGACTAGACCAGGGGTGTCCAACCCACGGCCCAATAAACTTGTAAACAAAACTGACAAATATTTTATTTTATTTATTTCAACGGCATAAATTCAAAAAAAAGAAGTTTCGCAAAGTCGTAAAC